ACGGTGAAGTCGGCGTATCATACTACTTATTCATACCTGTGAACTATATTTTGGGTCTATGAGGCGATGGGGAGGAAGAAAAGATAATAGTAAGAGCGCATTATGTGCAGAACGGCCTATATACAATTTGGAATTCAAAGCTAGACATGCCCAAGAACTGATTCAACCGCACACGAAAACACAAAGCCAAGAAAAGAAATGGAGTATCAAATGATCTATAACAAGAACAACGATGCATAATGGGTTAGTGTGGCGTCAAAAACTCCCAGAGGAAGGCAAATATATATATCAAATGCATCTCAACAACCGTCGACTACCAAATGTACACTCGGCACGAAGCAGATGAAAATGAAAAGACGCGGTTCTCTTATCGGCATGACGTGAATCACTGTGTCTCCTTATGCCAGTCGGTCGTTGGGCTTCTGGTACACAGCGCCATGCAGGCGCTTCTCGCGCATAATGCTCCATAGACACACACCCATACCGCAGATGCCCGAGAGGAAAGTCATGAAGTAGGCGGTGCGGTAGCAGGCCAGACCATCGTCACACTCACGGTCACCATCTTCGCCGATGATGGAGTGGTGGTCGTAGATGCTGCCGTAAAGCAGATTGAAAATGTTTCCGCTAAAGACCGGGGCCAGGGTCATGACGCCCCAGTTCTGGGAGAGACCGCTGATACCGAAGGTGGAAGCAGTCAAGGATGGGAAGACGCCGAACAGGAACCCGTACGCTACGCCGGTGAAGGCAGAGACTATGGCGAGCGCGTGCGGGTTTGAGATCGAAGCTCCGGCTAGTTGGGTGAGGGTGAAGACGCAAGAGGAGATGAATAGGCACCAGAAGCGGGACATGCCGAGCTTTTTGACTAGGATGTCGGATCCAATGCCTAAATGCAAGGATTTAGTATGATACCACAGACGCTGAAGATACTTGAACATACCGCTGCAGAGACGTCCGAGGAAGTTGCCAAAGGACAGAATCGACACGTGCATGACCTGTCGTGCTTGAATAAACTGCGACGAGGCATTGGAATCGTAGGCGATCCACAGGGCCTTGGCGCTGTTGCCAATGTTACTATAGACCTCGTTAGCCGTTGCACAGGTACTAAAAACCGCCGACAACATACTTGATAGTCATCAATCCGATTCCGGACAACAGAGCCATGGTCAGAAACAGTTGCCAGAACTCGACTGTGCGCAGCATAGCTAGACCTCGGATATCAACTTGGTGAGACTCAAGGGCCACCTCATCTAGGAAGTCATCATCCAGGGTATCGAAAGACGGCCGCACAACATCTGCCTTGGACATGAGAGACGACGACTCGCCCATTTCCAAGTTGTCGAAATTACGAGCCGCCGGGTTGGAGACCGTTGATTGCCCCCGAGAATGAGTGAAGTGGTTCTGCCCTGCGGCTGCGGAACCCTGAGCTTCGTCGTCGACCTCCTCCGGTACAGAGTGGAGGGTGCTGGTCCGATGCAACAATGTCGACTCAGTCGGCTCGTCTCTTTCCCGAAGAGACGTGTATGACTCCATGGCGAAAATCCGGATAAAGGGCGTCGACACCAAGGTCAGTATTGAGGTGCCGAGGGCTAGCAGAAGGAGAAATGCTCCTGTGTCATCTTTGAAGGCAAGAGTCGACACCGTCGACCAGAAGAAAGCGCTGAGACCAAACGCGGCCAGAGGGAAAGCAGTTGCCGTGCCACGGTGATCAGGAAAGTTCGACGCCGCTGTAAGAATGGCTGAGTTAAGAGGTTCTGATATGTTCCGGACATTGTGGCCGACAAACCTGTCTTGATTGCAGAGGAGAAAGCACCACAACCACCCGTTCCTGTGAGGAAAGCGAAAAAGCACAAAAAGATGACTGGCATCGAGCCTTGGCCGCCGTTATATGCTACTGACATCAGCGCCCGCATCCCAATGGACAGGTAGCAAAAACAACATACCAAGATGAATTGGGTAATATCCAATACCAAGGCAAACCGAACCAACCAAGATTGAGGTCCGAGGGCCGCGCGCATCCGTCAATAGGCCCATAGGGACTCCCATAGCATACATGCCCAAGTTCCCCGCTGCACCCTAAAGAAGGTGTCAGGGATTGTCTCCGTTATTCTCGACTATAACTCACGATGAGGTTGCTCTCCGTTGATGACAGCTTCATGCGGTGTGCGAATTGAGGGGCCCATGCAGAGTATGCATACTGTATCGAGAATTGTCAGATATCAAGGACCGGAGGGTTGGTGGTCTATCACGCACGTTCGTTCCACAGGACAAAGCGATCAATGTCCCCGCAACCACGGAGACCACCCGTGCGATTTTGTTCGTAGACTCGGACATTGTGTCGCGATCGACGGTTCCCGGATTCTCGTTGAGCTGCGCTTTAATGGGGCCAGGTGTACGGCGGGCGCGTACCGGCTAAGTGTCCTAGCGACAGACGGGACCAAGCAGGTCCTCGCGGGTCAAGTATGAGAGGGTTGACCAGACAGGGCACATCGGACCCAGACGCTGAAAAGAAACACGAGGAGAGGGAAAAGAGAGGACAGACAAGCAACAGCGGAGAAGAGCCCGAGCGATCGTCGTAATCCGGCCCCCCGTTAATTACTTAGCCCTCTGCAGTCATGTGACCTACCACCTTATCTACAAAGTGCGTGTATGTGATAGGCTAGTTAAGATACATCTGTAGGCATGTACCGACCTTAATATGATGAATACTACTGCTATGATAGTACATGGTACGCCCAGCCAGGCAGGCTAACTAACTAACCGCGCGCGATAAGGCAAGGAGACCCAGAAAAAGGAGGGGATACGAGGACGACAGAGCGCGAAAAGGAATTCAAACAGAACCAGAGGGAAAGAAAGTGTTAACTACCTATGTACCTAGGTTGCAAAGGGATAATCACTATTACTACGATTTCCTCTTAAGCATTGCGGATTCAACTGGAGTCAAGTGCCTAAACTATGTGATTATGTAATTCAACTCGTGACATGACGAAGGCGGTCATTCCTTGGCACTGACTCTCTCCTCTCTTTCTCTTCGTCTGTCTCCAACAACTTGATTCCATCGAGGCTTATATTGCCAGTCCACTGCTCGGATTAGCTCGGCTTCAACTCGGGCTCTGCACATCCTTCATCATGGGCGCCCTCTTGTCCCTGCCGCTGCTGGCGGTGCCCAGCGTTGGCACCGTAAGTTGCGCCCCCGCGCTGTCCATTCACCTTGTCTGGCTAACCTTGTCTCTTGGGAAATAGCTCATAACCATCGGAACTTCGTGCTGCGGTGCTGCAACGTGTGGTGCTGTCTGCAGTGCCTGTGGCAAGTTTAACAACAGGTAGCGACTCCCGGTTGCCTAGCGCGCAGACCCAGACTGACTCTGGAGAAACAGTATCGCGACGAGAATCGCCTATGCCTTCATCCTCTTGCTCAACTCCATCATATCCTGGATTATGCTCACGCCATGGGCTCTGAAAAAACTGCAACACTTGACGCTGGACTATATGGAGATCCGATGCGACGGAAAAGAGTGTTACGGCTGGGTGGCGGTCCATCGCATCAACTTCGGTCTTGGTCTCTTCCACTTGATTCTCGCCCTTTTACTGCTCGGCGTCCACACATCCAGAGATAGCCGTGCGGCCCTCCAGAATGGTTTTTGGGGACCGAAGATTATCCTGTGGGTCGCATTTGTGGTGATGTCGTTCTTTATCCCCGAATCATTCTTCATGGTCTACGGCAGTTACATCGCCTACTTTTGCGCCATGCTTTTCCTTCTTCTGGGTCTGATTCTCCTGGTCGACCTGGCGCATTCTTGGGCGGAGCTGTGTCTGCAGAAGATTGAGGACAGCGACTCGCGTATGTGGCGCGGCCTGCTGATTGGTTCGACTCTGGGCATGTACCTTGCGTCGATCGTCATGACGATTCTGATGTACATCTTCTTTGCGAAAGGAGACTGTCGGATGAACCAGGCTGCTATCACGGTATGCACTTGTCTACCCTTGTCTATCCTTGTTGAGACCCCGACTAATTTATCCCAGATCAATTTGATCGTTTTCCTGGTAATCTCAATGATTTCGGTTCAGCCTGCGGTTCAAGAATCGAATCCCCGAGCAGGCCTGGCGCAAGCGGCCATGGTCACCGTTTACTGCACCTATCTCACCATGTCTGCGGTCTCCATGGAGCCGGACGACAACAACTGCAACCCGCTGATTCGCTCCCGCGGCGCGAGAACCGCTACGGTCATCCTGGGCGCAATCGTGACCATGGCCACCATTGCGTATACGACCACCCGTGCCGCCACTCAGGGAATTGCATTGGGCTCCAAGGGCGGCCACGGCTACGTCGAGCTGGGTACCGAGGACAACGAGCACGGCTTGGTGACCCAGCAGCCCAACCCCCGCCGCGAGATGCGTGCTGAGGCGCTCCGGGCTGCTGTGGAGAGCGGAAGTCTGCCCGCGAGTGCCTTGGACGACAGTGACGACGAGGATGAGTTCGAATCCAGCAGCAAGGACGATGAGCGTGGATCGACGCAGTACAACTACTCGCTCTTCCACGTCATTTTCTTCCTCGCCACGACTTGGGTGGGCACGCTGTTGACGCAGAACCTCGATCTCGAGAGCTCGCAGGATTTTGCTCCCGTAGGCCGAACCTACTGGGCCAGCTGGGTGAAGATCATCAGTGCTTGGGTGTGCTATGCGATCTATCTCTGGACGCTGGTCGCGCCGGTTCTCCTGCCGGATCGATTTGCTGCGTAGGATGGTGGTGGATCCTTTCAGCGTTGGAATTTGGGTTTTTGAATTGGCGTTGAGCGACAGCACCCGAGTCATTCTTTTTTGTTATCCGGCATGCCTATGATTTTAGTGGCGATAGTAGTGAAAAGCATCCATTATTGCTTGTATTTGACTCTGTTGTCGTCTATACATTAGGTAACTACTCCCTGCTTAGCAAATCCCCGCGCGTAAAGTGCGACGCGCACCCGCTTTCTCCCTCTCTCTCTGCAAGACATCATGGGATGAAAATGGCCGCGATCCAGGCCATCGAGGCCCGTTCGGTCTGTCTCCTACTGCTTATTGATGAGAGATCAGTCTAACCCGCGCGTAGGTCCACCAAATCCAGTCGGGCCAGGTCATCGTCGACCTGTGCTCCGTCGCGAAAGAGCTGGTCGAGAACAGTCTCGATGCCGGCGCAACTTCCATCGGTGTGTTTAGGTTCTCAGCTTCTAAAAAGGTTATCTGACTGACACGGTCTCCAGAAGTTCGATTTAAAAATAACGGGCTAGACCTGATCGAAGTGCAGGATAATGGCGGCGGGATCCCGCCAGACAGCTACGAGAGCGTCGGTGCGTTTGTCTCCCATGAGTTGCACGTTCATAATGCTAATTCTCAAGGATTGCAGCTTTGAAACACTATACATCCAAGCTATCCTCGTTCTCCGATCTCACGTCCCTCCAAACCTTCGGCTTTCGCGGCGAAGCGCTCTCCTCGCTCTGCGCGCTCGCCGACTTCCACATAGTCACAGCACAAGCCAATCAAGTACCTCGCGCGAACCGACTCGACTTTGAATCATCTGGGAAGCTTCAGAAGACCCAGATTGTGGCAGGACAGAAAGGTACCAGCGCGTCGGTGGAAGGCATCTTCAAGCGGCTTCCTGTCCGTCGACGGGAACTGGAGAAGAACATCAAGCGGGAATACGGGAAGGTGTTGAATCTGCTACATGCCTACGCCTGTATCAGCACTGGAGTGCGTTTTAGCGTGCGCAATACTGTGGGCAAGACGCGGAACGTGGTTGTCTTTACCACGAACGGCAACCCAACGACTAGGGAGAATATCGCCAATGTCTACGGCGCAAAGACCTTGTCGGCGCTTATTCCGCTTGACTTGGAGCTGGAGTTTGAGCCCGCGGGAGCAACGAGACGAGCTGGTAGTGATCGGGTAAACCAAATTCTCGTCCGGGGTCACATCTCACGCCCGGTCTTTGGCGAAGGACGCCAGACGCCAGACCGGCAGATGTTTTTTGTCAACTCGCGTCCTTGCGGGCTTCCTCAGATTGCCAAAGCATTTAACGAGGTGTACAAGTCGTTTAATGTGTCGCAGTCGCCGTTCATCTTTGCCGATTTCCAGATGGACACGAATGCCTACGATGTGAACGTCTCGCCTGATAAGCGTACTATTCTCCTTCATGATGCGGGGGCTATGATCGAGTCGCTCAAAACGTCACTGGCGCAGCTGTTTGAAGCTGCTGATCAAACTGTGCCGCAGTCTCTGGTGCTTGGTTCCAAGCAAACCCCTGCTAAACAGCAGCCGCTAGCATCTCTACCTGGGTTTGCGAGTGCCCGGCAAATTAATGCGACTGCTTCGAAAACAAGCGAAAAGCCAGGCCACGACCAAGATGAAAATGGATTGATTGACGAAGAGAGCGAGTCTGGCCGGCAAGAAGCTGGGCGCGAGATCCAACGCTTCATGAGCTCACAAGATACCAACGCTAGCAAAGAGCGCGCACCACTCTCGTCCTCTCCGGCCGCGTCATCTACCAGACCAGTAGAACAAGCGTCTTTCACAAGGCAACAGCAAGAGCCGGACTCTCCGTCAGTTGAGACTGAGGACAACAGTGGTTCTCAGATAGTTGACGACACCGCCGACAATTCTCAAGAAGCATCCTCCCAGCCATCGGAGGTGGTACATCGCCCAGCTCTGCAGCAGGATGAACCCGACGAAACTCCCAACGCAATCCAAACCGCTTTTGATCGGATGCGTCCGCTACGACGTCCGGCTGAAATGGCCACCATCACTATCGGCGGCACCCATACTGTGAAATCTATGATCGGGAGCGCGAGCTTGCGAAAGCGAACATCTGATACAGCAAGTTCTGCCAACACATCTGCCAACCGAGAGCCGAAACCGCGGAAACGACGGATATTCACGCCGTCGCGGCCGAGTTCATTTGGACAGAGCATGAAAGCCTTTGCGGCCCCGGGAACACAAGGGCAGGAAGAGGATGAAGAAGATGTAGAGGAAGAGGAAGAGGAGGAGGAGGAGGAGAATGATGAAAGCGAAGAACTGTCTGCCGAGGATGAGGCGCAAGAAGATATCGAAGAGAATGAAGAAGACTTCGAAGTGGCGTCGGAAGATGGCGACTATGCACCCGAGGACACTCAGCATGCCGACTCCCTTGATCCTGCAGAGATTAACAACAGTGCCCCAGAACAAGAGTCGACCACAGGTGCAGATGAAGACCTCGACGAAGCGACGAAAAAAGCGCAGGAAGAGGCTGTAGTTCGGCGGCTGATCCATGAAGCCGAAGAAACCGCTGTGCTGCCACAGGAACACAATACCAGCCGAGCCAACAAGATGAACAAGGGAGCTTTGCACCGTGATGCTACCGTGAATCTGGCCAGCACGATCAACGGATCCATCTCCCAAGTACAGGATCATATGACCAAGCTGCGGCAGGGTCTGCAGCCACATACCCCGGTATCCAAACCCGACGAGCCCGAAGTCTCTCGCGAGGACAGCTCCGCAGAAGACCGGCTGTCGCTGACGGTGACCAAAGCCGATTTTGCGCAGATGCGGATCATTGGCCAATTCAACCTGGGATTCATCCTGGCTGTGCGTCCCGGCACGGACCACGACGAGCTCTTCATCATCGACCAGCACGCGTCGGACGAGAAATTCAATTTCGAGCGCCTCCAAGCCGAAACCGTCGTTCAGAACCAACGACTCGTCCGACCCCAGCGGTTAGATCTGACAGCCGTCGAAGAAGAAATCGTGCTCGCGAACCGCGAGGCACTTGAAAAAAACGGGTTCGTGGTCACCGTCGACGAGAGCGGCGACGAGCCCATCGGTCGACGCTGCCAGCTCGTCTCCCTGCCGCTCAGCAAGGAAGTGGTCTTCGGCGCGCGCGATTTAGAGGAACTGATCTTTTTACTTTCTGAATGGGCGGGTTTGTCTTCTGCTTCGACGCACTCCGTGCCCCGGCCGAGTAAAGTGCGCAAGATGTTCGCCATGCGCGCCTGTCGCTCGAGTATCATGGTGGGCAAGACCTTGACGAGTCGGCAGATGGAGCGCGTGGTGCGCAATATGGGCAAGATCGATAAGCCGTGGAACTGCCCGCATGGCCGGCCCACGATGCGCCATCTGATGAGTTTGGGCCAGTGGGAGGCATGGGAGGAGGGTGCGAGTAATGACTTGGATGTGTGGAAGCAGTACCTAAAGACATGATAGATCTGGGCTAGACATACATATATCAATCACCACCACGCCCACCACCCTCTCTTCCGTCCATCCTCCTTCTTCTTTGGATCTTCTTCGTGCTCCACCATAGTATTATTCCCATTCACCCCCGTCTCCCCACCCCCATGTCCATCCTCACTCCCCATCTCCATCTCCACATCCTCCTCTTCCTGCCTCCTCTCAACAGCACCAACCATCTCCTCTAACACCAACAAATCCCGCTCAATAACCTCCGCCCAGTTCTGCACATCGCCAATCTCCTTCAACCCCTTGCGCGCATCCTCCGCCAGTCCTGCCCACTGCTCATTCTGCCTTGCCAGCTGCGCCGTATGCCCCGCCAGCTCGGCTTCTTGGCGCTCAAGTGCGACGGCGTTGGACTCGATTAGCGCCGCGCGGGAGCGGAGCGGTAGTTCCAGGGTTGTGCCCACTGAGTGGAGCGTTGCGGTGAATGCGGCTAGGGCTTCTTCTTTTTGTTGGTGGTCTTGGCTTGTGCTGGAGTCGGGTTGGGCTTGAGGTTGGGAGTGTGTGTCGGGGACGATGAGGGTGTTTGTGGGGGGTGTGGAGGAGGTAGGTTGTTGGTCTGTGGACATTTTGTTGATACGGTAGCCTGTAGTTTGAATATAATGTAGTGTATATAGGGGTTAGATGTTGGTAGAAGTAAACGAAGAAGTTCCCAACTTGATAGTTAACAATGATCTGCAACCCCACTCTGCTCCCCGGCGTGGCACGCTGTCAGTGGCTACGAATAGGTAACTATTAGTTATCCTTGTGCCTAGTAACTAGTTATAGTACTGAAAGATAGTAGTGATCATTAGATTCGCTGGATGCTGCTAGTATTTTCTTTCCTCCCGAAAACGCCAGACATGCCGAAAATGACAGAAGTAACACAGCGCTGTGAAGAAAAATGCTGATTACAATATCTTCCCCGAGTCGATACAAAAAATAAAATAAAAATCAGAAACAAATCACATATTCGCCAGTTCCTGGTCGATTTGCCGATCTAGGAACCCACGTTTGTCGCCCGTGAGCGACGTTTGGAGGCGCTGTTCAACGAGAGAGCGCACTGGAGAGATGTTAGCGAATGATTTATCACACGGGAGCAACAAAACTTACCCTGCTTCTTGGTCACCGTGTCCAAATCCACTTCAGCCAGACAGTTCCGGATAGCTTCTGTGATAGCCTGCTCGTCTGGTCCGCTGCTGCCACCGCGGAAATCGAAGGCTGTACTAGCCGGTCGAGACGGGTACTGGCCCATCGGACTGCGAGACCGCGAGTTCGACAGCAGGTTCTCCGTGCTCTGCATTAGACCGATGCTGTGTCGGCTCGAGTGGAGGTTGGGCTGGTCTTGGTAGGCGCTGAGGTTGCCGACGGACATGTGCCGTGAAGGCGCTGTCGGGGGTCCGCCTCCCATTTGCGGATAGTCTGTGTAGCGGGAGAAGTTCGACATGTGCGAGTTGCGGTTGCCTGGCATGTTCGCGCCGCCCATGAACGGAGCGGGGGATTGCGGGGGCATGTATGGATTGACTTGGCGAGCCTGGCCGGGGAACCCGGTCAGGATGGTGGATGCCGGTCGGACGGACGAGTACTGCGAGTGCATGTCGTCCATCTCCATGGCCGTCTCGTCGATGTACCGGCCGGTCGCGTAGACCTTCTCCTGGCTGGCGCCGTAATCGCCACGGCGGCCGGGGAGGTTGTTAGCCATGGCGTAGTCATCCCAGCGCTGGAGCGGTATGCTACGCGGGTCGAACCCTTCGTCCTCCACGGCAATGACTCGCTTGTCGCCTTTTTCGCCGATAACCACGCGGGTGTTACCCCATGTAAAGTCATCCTGGAACCAGAAGGAATACAGCGGCAAGACGAAGCTGTAGATGGGGAATGCAATGATATAGATGATCATCCATCCAACGTGCTGCCACTGTCGCTTGATGATGAAGATAACCGCCTGCAAGCCGTACACACCCGCCAGCATTGCGATCGAAATGATTGGGAATGGGCCAGTACCACTGGCGACTCGGTAGATGAGATATCCAAGGTAGACGCACGTGGCCGGGAGGATGATCGTTCCGAGCAAGTCGACAAGCACAACGAAACGCATACTGAAGCAGCAGAAACCACACAGGTCTTTGAGAGCGGCTAGCTCCACCAGGTTGTGGATGGTCGAGTTGATCCAGCGACGTCGTTGGGACAGGAGCACGCCCCATGTCTCCGGAGCAGCCGTGCTCGCGAATGCATCGGGGATGAACTTGTACCGCATCGTCGGGAAGTGCTTGGTCATGAGCGTTGTCAAGTACCGATCCTCGCCCAAAGACAGGAGATTCTTCTTGTGAAGCGTGTCGATGTCGTTGTCCGCATATTCCTTGATTACTTTATCCGAGATGATCAGAGGGCGTCCCTTGTCCGCCGTCCGGAGACGGTACATGCAGAAACTATCAACAGTCAGTATCTCGAAATCAACCGGAGAAAACAAAAAAAAAAAAAAGAAAAAACGTACCATCCAGGAAGACAGGTCACACTGCCGAAGAGGGACTCAAATGCCTTGGCCAGGTGGTGCGAGATGTAGTACTCATAGACCTGAATCATAGTCCACCAACTCCGCTCCTCGTTTTGGAGACTGGTTTCACCGCAAATGCCAGCAATCTTCGCGTCTGCCGCACAAGCCGCAACCAGCCGGTTGAGAGAATCCTCCTTGACACTGGTATCTGCGTCGACCATGAAACAGTATTCATACAGCTCCGGGTCCACGCCGATGACGTTGTTGACCTGATGGAACATCTCGAGCTCCAGCGGCGACATGGGAGCGCGGTGGTGCACCCGGTTCAAAAAGTTCATCATGAGAATCTGCGAGTCTCGCTTGCCTCGGTTGCCGGGCTTAGACTTGCTCTGTTCGGATTCCTTGCCCACCTTGACCACCACGACATAGGGCACGACGTTACCCTCGTATTCGTAGAGACCAGAATACACTTTGCCATAGTTAAGTTGCTCGCTCCCCTGGCCGACGGACTTGAATGGCAGCGCTGGCGGGTCCATCTTGGGGTCCACGCCCAAAATGTCCAGAACAATCTTGGGCGTAGGCCGGTCATTTCCGCCACCAACGATCATACCGTCGCAGACCACACAGATTAGCTTCCTTTTGTTGTCATACTGCAGTGCCGTCAATGAATCCAGCCCTTTGCGCAACGCATCCTCCCCTTCCGTGTACGCTGGGACTAGACAAATCACGAACTTGTCCTGTGGCGACGGTCGACGTTTGGATCCTAACTGCAGAGCCGCAAGGAACTTGACGAGGATCACGGCGCAGATCAGGATAGTGAACGCCAGGAGAATCCAGTTGTTCACGGTACAGCGAGGTGTGTCGCGGAAATCGACCTTGCCAACATAGAACGCATAGTCCAAGCACTGCTGGGCATTACGGAAGGGCTCTGTGTCTTGCCACTTATCGGTCACGTCGGTTCCCGGAAAGTTTTTGAAGAGCGTAGTGACCTCGTTCGGCAGGAATTCATACCCCTTGTAACCGGCCATCTCCTTGATCGTGTAAAAGTAGTTCGTCAAGTCGTAAACCTTCTGGTCCATGATAACCCAATACCGCTGGTAATTATTGGCTTGACTTTGAATTGTGCCCTTCGACCACACCAATTCACCTTTGTAGTAATTGGCGATCTTCGGTAGGAAGATGTCTGGGTACCAGCTGAGGTCGTGGAGTTTCGTGTTAGGGTCAGGCTGTTCCACCGGGCCGGAGGAGTGCACCGCATTTGAGTACAGGACAGCGGTCGAGTCGTTGTTCTTCATCTGGATTTGTTGGTCCTTGACGAATGGGGCGCAGTATCGAACGAGCGGAGGGGGGAAATAACCGTCCAAGTTCAACCCAGCGAAGGGCTTCATATTGGCCGCGTCAGTGTCGTAGCCGACCTTATCACTGTGTTGCAACCGCCAGAATTTGCTGATGTCGTAGACCCGGCCATGGATGCTGACATAGAAATCATCGTCTCCCGTATGCCAGCTGACCTGCTGGTTATTCCAGGCTTTATCTTTGTTAGGACAGAGCAGGTCACCAAATGCAATGATGTAGAAGCAGACAATCCCATTGAAGAGCAGGATCAGGAGCACGAGGACGAGTTTCTCTCGCCAGGCCATTCGAATATCTGGGCGCTTCATGCGGCCAACGAACCTCAGCACGAAGGATGGAATCCAAAATGTCAGGGCCCAGACAAATCCTGCCCAAATCCGACGACCGGTAGTGATGTTTTTCTTCTCGATGTGTTTGGGGTCTCCGAATTCGGCATCGAGGTCACCCATGTATCGGCCGTAGTCGTCGTAGTATGCAATGTCGCCCTTCTTATCGTCTCCCTTGAGACCCAGCCCATAGTCACCGCCACTAGCGGCATTAGTAAATGGCATGCTCGGGGCGATCGACTTGGCCCCTCCAAAAACGCTGGGAGCCGCGAGGCCTGCTTGTTGCATGAGGACATCATCTCGGCTTCCCATAAGGCCAGTCGCCTCGCCGAGAGGGTTGGCAGCGGGAGCCATGCCCGCGTCGTACATGGTCGCACCATACACAAAGGGGTTTTGGGGATTTTCGTCTGGCTTGAGATCGAGCATAGACTCGGCTTCCCACCATGCGCTCTCTCTCATCCAGACTCGTTGGTGGCCAACCACGGCATCGCCGTTGCTCCAGCCCCTCTCCATGATCCAGTTTTCAACACCGTCTTGGCCTTCAGTGCAGCCTAATCGCGCGTAGCGATCGACAAACTCCTCGACGTCAAAATCGGCAGTGAAGTCGAGCTGCTTCAGGCGTCGGTTAGCCCATTCGGGGAGCCGCCAGTCTCGCAATTGACGCGACACTGCGCCGGCTGACCAGGTCGAGGTGGAACCGTTCAAGCTGTCTGGCGAGTCGTCGGTCGGGTGCACTGAGAGATGGTACCACACCCGACTGCTGCCGAGCATAGTGGAAAGATCGAAGCGACCTCGTTTGCCGACAGAGATGCCCTCGCCCTCCACAGGGAAGAGTACTCGTCGCAGGAAAGAGTCCCCTTCAATCTCCACCCCGACCTTCTCCAGGACCCCTTGTCGTTTGTCGAGCTCGTATTCACGTTCTCGTCCAGCCGCGCCGGTAGTGATGCCAAGGTCAGGCTCAACTTGGGCCACTGCGCCAGTCATCTCGTTGACGACAGAAGACCCTATCGGGGGGATGGGGATTCCGTCCTCCTTCATCTCGGCGTTGATTCCCAGATTATCGTCAAACACACCTCTCATTGCAATAGCTTTGCCGAGAGCGGGCCGCGGAATGTCGAGAACGACCAGGCTGACCGTGTCTTCATTCGCCCACTGAGTGCCGGCACCGCCATTGCTGGAATCATTCTCCAGCGTGTTTTGAACTTCGGCTGCGATGGCTTCGTTCGCCTGCTTGATCACCCAATCTACCAGTGCTTCGTAGATTCCAGCAATCAAGACCTCGCGTTCATCTGTAGAACATTTGTGCAGCAGAATCTCCGGGTCCAATCCAAGCAGCCCACCGACATCCTCACAAACCTCTTCCAGATCCTCTTCGTCCACTTGGAAGCCTGCTGCGTCACCAAGCTTGATCAGACCCGCAAGCACAGATAGTAAGCCTCGCAGGGCCGCTCCCTTGATACCAATGGTCTTCAGTGAGGCCCGAAAATCTTCCGCAGCTGCTGCATCATCGGCAGCTGGCAGATAGGACGGAGGTGAATACGTGCTGGATCGGTTGAGCAGGGAATAAGCCGAGAGGTCCTTGAGACCCAGAAATTCACGCTCCGCGGTTGAGGAGGCGGAGGTCAGAAGATAATAAAAGACATCAAAGGCACGATACCCGGCCTCGTTCGGAATTTCCAACAGACCTTTCCGCACGTTGATACCGGAGGTCGACAGAGCCAGAGAGAGGTCAACGACGTTTCCATGAAGTGTCAAGGTGTAAGAGGCCGACAGGGCCGAGTGCAGGTTGTAAGACGGGTTAAATGCTGTAACTGCAGAAAGAAAGGGCCGCAAGGCAGCCAGAGCGGCGAATGTAGCGTCCGGAGTGGGCAGTGGCAGCGCGGCGAGAAATGGTTCTAAAAGAGATGGGGTGGACTGATGGGTCGAGCTGTTGGGTGGTCAGCTAGATGAGCTTTATTTTTGGGGGGTTACGTCTCCCTACCATAAAACAACACAACCATCCTCTGCCCGTCGTCGGGCATGTTCCCAAGCTCTCACGGCCAGGTCGCGGTCGACCGTGGCTCCGCTGCGGCCATCAGGGAGGGTGGTAGCCGCCGTGACCCAAGAGTTGACGGCCAGGCTAGTGCTCGCGTCAAGCTGGTAGGGTTGGCCCGCGATGTAGAACGAGTGTAGAGCATTCAGCAAGGTCGTGGTCGAGACCTGCGTCGCATGCTGTGGCCGCGGCCCGGCCGATAGGCCCGCGGATTGGGTCGAGAAGACCGAGTAGCGGTTTGACATGATGAAGTATGAATTCAGCAGCTTCCGATGTGTGTCTTAATACCACATGGGGAGCCCTGCTGCTGCGAGGGACACCACGCGCTTCCCCCGGTTGGTCGTGGAGCTGTTGCTGGTAGAGGGCGTGGGGAGAGCAGGAAGGAGAGGGTTCCTGACAACCGCCGCAACTGGGAGAAATCAATTAATGGGAGGGAGAAGCGAGTGACTGGAACGGCAGTTGGAGAGAAGAGAGAAGAGAGAGAAGGGAAAAGAATGAGTGAGTCTGCTCGGGGGAACAGCAAAAGAATGGGGAGAAATTCGGTTGTTTGAAAAATACGCGGAGGCAGTACGGGCGATCAATTCAATCATGGCATGATGGACTTTTTTCCAGACATGAAATGTTCACATGTTCCCCTGGCCCGTTCAGGATCTGCAATGGCAAATACGATCAGAGCAGTCGAATTTACGGTGGTTTTCGTCCGTGACTGCTCACAATCCGTTTTTCGACTCTCGCTATTCTTCGGTTTGTTGATGTTTTTATTTTTCTGATTTTCTTCCCCTTGAGCATCTGACACTGCTCCACCGGCTCCAGAACACCACCGAACCCTGGGTATTTGTAACTAGCGGGTACAGTACGGGCTAAATTTGGCCCATGTCTCACAAAAACTTCACGGCTGGTGATCAACTGCGCCACTCAGAGCGCAGAGACTAGTAGTGCGACCATCTCATTTGGGTAGTGCTATTGACATATTATGTACCATCTAGAGGTAGACATTCCACGCGCTGGGACATACCACACTCAACCTTGGAACTACCATCCCTGGTTTCAGGAACTGGATCTCGGGAAGTTAGTAAGAAGCGAGTTCGTGATCTGATGTATACATCGAACCACTTGCAAGGAGGTGCCAATAGGTATTATGTATTGCCCGATCGGGAGTGACCTGTCGACCAAACCCTGAGACCCTGTCAAATACCCGCGGTCCAAGTGGGGATGTGTTCAACCTGAGACCCCGGCGTTCCTAGGTCCTAGGACAACGGACAAGATCGGTATTCTGGTTGCTAGCTATATCGTGGTCAGTGATGGCTCTCTGGCCATGATCAACTGCTACCGATGACGCTCAGTACTTCCTATTCCTCCCTGCTATAGAACCGTCTCGCCATCCGCTCGGCCCCAGAGGATTTTCAAGGCCGATCCGGTGGACACGTCCGGCCCAATCACAACCGCCCTATTCTTAGATGTTTCTTTGGCTGCCCGAGCTAGTATTTTGTGTTTCCCATTACACCTCTTTTTTTTTTTTCCTTTCTGACCAAAACCCCCGGACGGTCTTATCTCGCTTCTCCCAGTTCCTTTTCTTCTTCTCCAACTTTCCATAGCTTTACACTCGTTCAGTCTTCCCACACTCGCTTTTTCCTCTATGTGTGTGGTGTTATCGTCAACATCGAACTAGGGGTTCATTCCACCCGTGCGGACATTCCTCGTCTCCCCCCATCCACGTTCATTCTTGGTCAACGGAGCGCCTGGTGTCCACGTCCGCAGCTGCTCCGTCCATTTGGTCGCCTTCCTCCCTCTTTGAGTCCTCGTCGTGGAGGCCTCAATCACCATGGCCGGCCACTTGAACACAGCCAGCGCCCCGGCGCATGCTCAGTCCTCATTGCCGTCGCTACCAGCACATCTACAGTCCGATACGCATATAACGGCTCATCTGGCCAGCCGGTAAGTGAAGCATGGTGCCAATCCACCGTCAACCCAGCGCTAATCGACAGGTCCCAGGTTCCATGTCGGTCTACCAACGGCTCGTCTTTCATCACAAGCTCTAATTAGCCTCAACACCTACACCACGGCGACAAAGGGTCCAGATGGGGGCAAGGAAGGCAGTGCCGCTGGGGAAGCCGAAGATCTCGCCCGGCGCGCCTTTACTCGCTTAGGGGCGCGTGGGGAGAACCAGGCGGTGGTGTTCCTTGGAGAAAGTGGATCGGGCAAGACCACCATTCGCTCGCATTTGCTCTCGTCGTTCCTGTCCTTCTCCTCTACCCCACTTTCCTCCAAGCTGTCCTACGCCGCGTTTGTTTTCGACACCCTGACCACCACCAAATCCGTGACGACCCCCACTGCCTCCAAGGCCGGTCTCTTCCTCGAACTTCAATATGATGGATCCTCCTCGGTCAGTCCCACACTGATCGGCGGCAAGATCATCGACTACCGACTAGAACGCAGCCGCATCTCCTCCGTGCCCACGGGCGAGCGCAGCTTCCATGTGCTGTACTATCTGCTTGCCGGCACCAGTGCGGCGGAGAAGACCCATCTGGGATTCGACAATTCCATTCACGTCCAGACGGGCGGTGGGAGAGGCTCGGTGAGCCACAAGCGATGGCGATACCTGGGCCATCCAACCCAGTTGAAGGTTGGAGTGAACGACACCGAAGGCTTCCAGCACTTCAAGACCGCTCTGCGGAAGCTCGAGTTTTCCCGCAGTGAGATTGCCGATATCTGTCAGGTCCTGGCCACCATTCTTCACATTGGCCAGCTCGAATTTATTACTGGCCAGTCCACCACCACCGGTGCCGAAGAAAGCGGCGGCTACTCGCACGAGGGCGGAGAGATGGTTACCGTGGTGAGAAACAAGGATGTGCTCGCCATCGTGGCTGCATTCCTGGGACTGAGCGTCGAGTCCCTCGAGATCAGCCTGCGCTACCGCACGAAGATGATCCATCGCGAGCGCGTGACGGTCATGCTGGATCCGCAAGGCGCACGGCAGAATGCTGATGCTCTTGCCCGCATGATCTATTCGCTTCTGGTTACCTATGTCATTGAAACCGTGAACCAAAAAATCTGTGCGGCCGAGCACAGCGTTGCAAACACCATCTCCATTGTCGATTTCCCGGGCTTCGCTCAAGCGGCCTCGACTGGGTCCACTTTGGACCAGCTTCTCAGCAATGCCGCAACCGAGTGCCTCTACAACTACTGCCTGCGGTCGTTCTTTGACCACAAGGCCGACATTTTGGATCGTGAGGATATCAGCGTGGCTGCTACAAGCTATTTTGATAACACAGATACCGTACGTGGCCTTCTGAAGCAGAATAACGGGTTGTTGAGTATCTTGGACGACCAAACGCGGCGCGGCAAGTCGGATACCCAATTCCTAGAGAGCGTGCGCAAGCGCTTCGAGGGCAAGAACCCCGCCATCTCTGTGGGCGACGCCAACTCCGGTTCCGGCGGTGGTCACTATTCGCAGAGTAACCGGATTGCCTTTACCGTCAAACATTTTGCTGGCGAGGTCGACTACTCTGTCCATGGTCTGATTGAGGAGAATGGCGAGGTCATCTCCGGTGATCTGATGAACCTCATGAACTCTACCCACAGTGACTTTGTGCGAGACCTCTTCGGTCAGGAGGCTCTGCAGACCGTTGCCCACCCTCGCGAGAAAACGACCATCATGCAAGCCCAAGTCAGCTCGAAGCCCATGCGGATGCCGAGCATGGCCAGGCGCAAAGTTAGCCCGCAGTCCCGCTTCACCTCCTCGGACGCATCCCGTGCCGACAGTGAAGACACGGGCGAAAATGACAGCCAGGCAGCGAGCTCCAGACTCAGCATGGCAGGCCGGAAGAGTGGATTGTCCGCTGGCCCAGATCAAGGGGCCGCCGGTCAGTTCCTGTCTGGTCTCGATATCATCAATAAATGTTTGAGCTCGTCCAATCTCAACCCGTATTTTGTGATCTGTCTCAAGCCCAACGACCGGCGCATGGCCAACCAATTTGACAGCAAATGCGTGAGGATGCAGGTTCAAACGTTTGGCATTGCTGAAATCAGCCAGCGGTTGAGAAACGCAGACTTCAGCGTGTTCATCCCCTTTGAGGAGTTTCTGGGTTTGGCTGAGATCGGCAACCTTGTCGTGGGCAGTGACAAGGAAAAGGCCGAAGTCATCTTGGATGAGAAGCGATGGGCCAGTAACGAGGCTCGGGTGGGTAGCACTGGTGTCTTCCTGAGCGAACGTTGCTGGGCAGATCTCGCCAAGGTTGGGGAACGCGTGGTCCCGACCTACGGACTTCACGGGTCTGACGAAGGCGATGGTGAGCTACATGGAAACTTGGACGCAAAAGTCCGGCTCCTTCATCCTTCTGACCAGTCGCCTGGTGCCTTTATCTATGGGGACGAGTCCAAACAAGGCGGGTACTTTGGCAGCCGCGAGCTGGACGGACGCTCCGAGGCCGGTGCATCGGCTTTCAACTCTGGTGATATGTTCCACAATCTAGAGACGAGAGAGCAGATGCTGGAGAAAGGCAACGAAAAGAGGATGGAAGAAGTGGATGATTCCCCCGTCTCGGGAAGCCGTCGTCGCTGGATGTTCTTGGTCTACATGCTCACCTTCTACATTCCGGATATCTTCATCAAGTGGTTTGGTCGCATGAAACGCAAGGATGTGCGGATTGCCTGGCGCGAAAAATTGGCAATTAACATGATCATTTGGTTCGCCTGTGCAGTCGCCGTCTTCATGATCGTTGCCTTCCCTGGGTTGATTTGCCCAACCCAACATGTCTACTCTCTGGGTGAACTCAGCAACCACAACGGCAAAGATGGCCAAGATTCCTTCGTTGCCATTCGAGGTATCGTGTTCAATCTCGGTGATTTCATGCCTAGCCACTATCCCGATATCGTGCCGACGACGTCCCTGAAGAATTACGCTGGTACCGATGCCTCCAACCTCTTTCCCATCCAAGTCTCGGCCTTGTGTCAAGGTGTGAGCGGAACTGTCAACCCAGCCGTTCCGCTGGATTACCGCGCGAACTGGAACGTCTCAAATATCAAGGAGTCCACCACTGACTACGACACCAATTCCGTATATCACGACTTCCGATCATGGACTGACCTGCCACAGGCAGATTGGTTCTATGAGCAGATGGTCATGATGCGTGCGAATTACAAGGAAGGCTACGTCGGTTACACTCCTCAGTATATGAAGACGTTGGCGGACAAAGAGGACAAGAACATCGGGAGTATTAATGGCAAAGTCTACGATCTGACCTACTACCTTGGGGGCCCCCGGGTTCCGATCTATCCAAAGGGCGAGAAGGGGGACATGGATATCAACACCGACTACATGGCCCCGCTGGTGGTTGATCTTTTCCAGCAAAAGCCCGGGACAGACCTGACGCACTATTGGGAAGACCTTCCCATCGATGAAGCACTGCGTTCGCGCATGCAGTTGTGTCTCGACAACCTGTTCTTCGTCGGCCATGTGGACACTCGAAATTCGGTCCAGTGTCAGTTTGCCCGGTACTTCATCCTTGCCATTTCAATCATGCTGTGCGCCATTATCTCGTTCAAGTTCTTGGCCGCGCTGCAATTTGGCAAGAAGAACCTTCCGGAGAATCTGGACAAGTTCATCATCTGCCAGGTCCCTGCCTACACTGAAGACGAAGATTCTTTACGCCGTGCTATAGACTCCATGGCTCGCATGCGGTATGACGACAAGCGCAAACTTCTGCTCATCATCTGTGACGGTATGATTATCGGTCAAGGCAACGACCGTCCGACGCCTCGAATTGTCCTGGACATCTTGGGCGTTCCAGAATCGGTGGACCCGGAGCCCCTCAGCTTCGAGAGTTTGGGTGAGGGTATGAAGCAGCACAACATGGGTAAAGTCTACTCGGGTCTGTACGAGGTTCAGGGTCACATTGTCCCGTACTTGGTCGTCGTCAAGGTTGGCAAGCCCGCGGAGGTGTCGCGCCCCGGCAACCGTGGCAAGCGTGATTCCCAGATGGTCCTCATGCGCTTCCTCAACCGTGTTCACTACAACCTTCCCATGAGTCCCATGGAACTCGAGATGCACCACCAGATCCGGAATATCATTGGGGTCAATCCCACGTTCTACGAATACATCCTCCAAGTTGATGCAGATACGTCGGTCGCGCCAGATGCAGCCACTCGATTTGTCTCCGCGTTCTTGTCCGACACCCGCCTAATTGGGGCCTGCGGAGAGACGGCCTTGTCGAACGCCAAAACATCCATCGTGACTATGATTCAGGTGTACGAATACTACATCTCGCACAACCTGACCAAGGCTTTCGAGAGTCTGTTTGGATCCGTCACCTGCTTGCCTGGTTGCTTCACTATGTACCGCATCCGTTCAGCAGAGACTGGAAAGCCCCTGTTCGTCAGCCAGGAGGTGGTCGAAGCCTACTCGGAGATCCGCGTGGATACACTCCACATGAAGAATTTGCTTCACCTTGGTGAGGATCGTTATCTGACGACCCTGCTCCTTAAACACCACCCGAAGTTCAAAACCAAGTATATCTTCCGGTCTCACGCCTGGACTGTGGCCCCCGAGAGCTTTGCCATCTTCTTGTCGCAACGTCGCCGATGGATCAACTCGACCGTGCATAACCTGATCGAGCTGATCCCACTCCAGCAGCTCTGTGGCTTCTGCTGCTTCAGTATGCGGTTTATTGTCTTCGTCGATCTGCTTAGTACCATCATCCAACCCGTTACCGTTGCCTATATCGCCTACCTGATTTACTGGATGGTCACAGATTCATCGGTGATTCCATATACCGCGTTTGTTCTGCTCGGTGTCATCTACGGTCTACAAGCGATCATCTTCATCGTCCGGCGCAAATGGGAAATGGTCGGCTGGATGATCGTCTACATCCTCGCCATTCCCGTTTTCTCCCTTGCATTGCCGCTCTATTCGTTCTGGAACATGGACGACTTCACCTGGGGCAACACACGTATTATCACCGGAGAAAAGGGCCGCAAGGTCGTCATCTCAGACGAGGGCAAGTTCGACCCGGCCTCTATCCCCAAGAAACGCTGGGAAGAGTATCAGATGGAGCTGTGGGAAGCGCAGACCTCGCGCGACGACTCCCGCTCCGAGGTGTCGGGCTACTCGTACGGCACCAAGTCGCATGCCTTCCCGCAGTCCGAATACGGCTTCCCCAGCTCGCGCCCCGCCTCGCAGCTGGATCTGCCGCTGCTTACCTCCGGTTCGCGTATGTCGCTCGCTCCGTCTGAGATGATGAGCCGTCACATGGATATGGACATGGGCATGGAAGATTACTCCAACCTCCCCGCGGATGATGCCCTGCTTGCCGAAATCCGTGAGATCCTGCGCACCGCCGACTTGATGACCGTCACCAAGAAGAGTATCAAGCAGGAGCTGGAGAGGCGGTTTGGTGTTAACCTTGACGCCAAGCGGCCATACATCAATTCTGGTATGTTTCCATTTTTTTTACTGCAAATGAACATCTGCTAACTCCTGATAATAGCCACCGAAGCAGTCCTGTCCGGTCTCCTTTGAAGACCACCCTTATTTACGCCATAGTTCAAGCACTGTGTTATTACTTCTAAGTTTTTCGAGCGACATCTCTTTATCTTTTAATTTGCATGAGAGCCGCTTTTTTCCTTTCGGCGACTGATGGTTTTTAGTCCTGGGGACTTTGTTGAATATTTTCGAGGGGTTCTTTTATTCTGTCTCATAAAATACGTTATTCCGGCAAGCATTGCATCTCAATCTAATGCCTACTTAGGGAATGTGAATCTGGTGAATTATGAATTGTTTTGGTTTTAGAACGTTCAATCTGTAGAGTCTCTATTTGTGCGTGGGAGATCGGAGAATTTAGGGCTTCATCGGTCGAGTTACTTGGGAAAACCTTAATATTCTTTTTTGTGGTTCATGGCTATTCTGTAAATTCCAGTACAATCAACTGCATATCCAAGTTCAATCCAATTATTTGCATTATGGCGCGGTGCTAATGCCATTCCCAAGTGAGAGCTATATATATGTGGGTACCGCAGGGTGTGCTCTCACTCCCGACTCCAGCTCAGCTCAGCTCGTTCATTGTCCGGGGCAGCCAAAACCGGGGGACCTGATTGCACCCCTGCAGGCCAGTTTCAAAGCAGCAACGCTTCGCCGGTCCACCCAGTCGGAATTGATCTTGAGGCGTCCACGTCGACCGATGATTGAGCTGAAGAGCGTTTGACCCACCGCGCCATACGAGACCATGACGTCGACCACTTGATCGCAGATCTCCATAAACATGAGCCTGTCCACTCTTAGGTATTTATTTACTGTCGTTTCTTGTATAGATGAACGGAATATATAGAGAGAGACAGAGAGGTGTGTGCGAGAGTGTGTGTGTGCTATCGATCTACCTCGGTCTAGATCCTTTGGAGGAAAAGTACCTTGTTGTAAGTATGTGATGCACACAGGAGGCCAGATCGTCGCCTAGGCCCTCCCTAGGCACCAGCGGTACGGGCAGTGGCCCTAACTAACTCCAGCGACTAACAAGCCACGATCCACCCGCAGCGTGACGGCCCATTATTTCACTAACCTCTAACTAAACTAACCCCTCAGCTGTCGCTCCCTGCCCTCCCGGCGGCCGAGTCCGGACCACCCGGCCGGCCCTATCTTGCCCAGCTCACCGTGGGTGGAGATGGTGACTGTACGGGGCCATACAGGGTTGTGCTTCCCGGAACCTATGACAGGCGCGGCTGGTGTACTGTACGGGCGGAATGATTCGGATGGAGAGAGCAGGGCACGTGATGGAGTGGTAGTCGATCGAGGACCAGTAGTATAGGATTAGAGGACAGGATAGGTCTAGACGTGAGGACCTATAGGATAGTTATTATTATCATCATCTACAATACACAAAGTAATATGCTATGGATCAATCCCCTGACATAGTGCTATGTCTACCTCAGAAAAGTCCCTTGATTCTCCCTTGAAGGCTGTGCATCCAGTAATCAACGGACCCGCACAAACTGACGACACTCGACTTTCACTTCTTTCTTTCCACCAAATCATCACCCACCCCCCTTTACCTGCTCCGGTAAGGTCGGCCTGCTTTGCTTCCTTCCTCCCGATCTGCCATTCCCCATCCCCCCCCAAAGCTGTGCCTAGCCCCGACTCGCACTAGCTACTATTCTTTGCTGACGCCTCTTTTGTCTGTGTGTGCTCAGCCTCTGCTTCTTCTTCTTTTCTCTCCATTCCTTTCGATTTATTATTCCGCGTGCCCACTTCATCGATCGATCTTCGTTCCCACCATTCCGCGTCAAAAAAACCGCCCTGTCCAACCCACAGGGCCATTCCTTATCCCTGTCGAGAACGGTCTGACCACCCGCTCCTCCACCACTCACCCACCCGACAACCATCCATCATCCATCCTCACCATTCCTCCTTCTCTTGCCCCTCGACACGTTCAAGGGGACAGAGTTCTTGCCGAACCTGGTCATGCACAAGATTTCCAACTTCACGGGCCAGGCCCGTCATGGTTGGGAACGAATGACGCCGACCTTTGGGATGTCCCGACCTCACACCACCGACATGGCCATCCGCCGACCGCACGGTGCGCCGCCCATGACACCCCCGTCTAGCATCGACCCTACCGTCAATCAGTCCTTCAACGTGCCCTTCTCCTCTACCTTGGCCGGTCCCGATGTCGAAGACGTAATCCACGCTAGTCCCGCCGCCCTTCAGCGCTGGACCTTCCCCGAAGGCACTCCCGAGGGCACGCCGGTACACCAGCTGCCTGTACACACCAACAACGTTGAGGGTTTGCGGAGACTATGCCGGCAAATAACGGAAAGCAATGCAGGACGGGTGGAGGCTTCCTTGACATCCTCGGAGCCCAAGGCCGTGCCCTCGCTACAGCGCCGGCCGAACGGCCTGACCACCAATGTCTGCGTCACGGGCGATGGAGAGACGGTGCGGAAGATGCGAGCAAAGATCTTGAACGAAACCCCGATCATGCTGGTACGTGGATAATTCTTTCTTCTGGCACATCCCTTGCTAACAATTGCCCTTTCATCAGCGGTGCGCGACTGTTGACGTGGATATGCACCTGATTATGGATGGATCGCCCAAAGGAGTTCGACCGAGCGTCCTCGAGCACCTGGATACCCTGGCCGCCTACACCGGAACCGATATCTTCCTGTTGACCCCCAAACTTCACGATGCGGATAGTGCGGTGGTTTCGTCTTACGGCTACGCTTCTGACAATGGACTGGACCAGCGCTTCCGGCTCGCCATCTACGGCGACATGGAGAGCACGGAGCATGCCAAGACGCGGGTGCTCATCATGATCGACCAAATCGTAGGTTCCTTCGTGTGCTCTGACCGGAAGACCAAACTAACCTCAGAACAGCTCAAACGTCATGTGGACGCCATGAAGCTGGAGTTGACCATGCACACCCTAGTCTGTGGCCGCACTCGCAAGAACATCAAGCTCATCGAGGCTGCTACCGGCACCGCCATTTACTTCCCCCGCCATTCCCACGAATCTTCGGTTATACCCCTCCGGGTGCTAATCGTCGGAGCGAGGATGAGGTTTTTATCACGGGCGAGACGTCGGATCAGATTGCTCGCGCCAAACAAAAGTTGCGGGAGTTGGTTATGGGAGTCAAAATCTACGTGAAGGATGTGGTGGTCAATTCGAGTAAAATTGACAATATCCTGCTCGACCGTCTGGACAAGGTTCGCAAGGTGATGGAAATGAATGGTTCCTACGTTCTGTTTCCGCAACTCGGTAGCCAGCGCGGCCTCGTTCGCATCCAAGGCACGGAGGTCTTGCATGTGGAACGGACCGTCCGGGAGATCATGGCTCTGGTATGTTGTTTTTCGATATGTTTTGCGAAAGCATTGCTAATTCTTTTTTCTTTTAGGCTGGTCAATTCTATAGTGCGTCGTGGTGGATCATCATGCCGGACCCAGCCCAAGGCGGTGTTCGTGCTCCGTCCACTCCCGAAGTCCGGTCCATGCTCTCGGATATCTGCACCAACTCGGAGGCGGAAGTCAGCTTCGACAATCTTACCTTCACCATCAATGGATCCGACGACGCGGTCAAGGCTGCCATGACAGTCATCAACCAAATACCCTTTGTGACGCGGAGTCAATACCAGATGCGGGTCAAGATTGAACTGGCCAACGAGCACAAGGAGTTCGTCAGCGGCAAGAAGAACGGGAAGATCAACAAGATCATGGGTCAGAGTAAGTGGCGTTTGGCGCAATTCTCAAAGCGGGTGCTGATTCATAACTAGGCAATGTCCAAATTATCTTTGACGGATTCAACGAGTACAACTTCTACATCGATGTCTGCGGAAACCAATACGATTCGACCAAGAATGGTCTGGATTTGGTGGAACAGGAAATGCCTGCGTCCATTTCCTTCCATGTGCCGGACCAGTACCATAAGCGGATCATCGGAATCGGTGGACAGCACATCCAACGCATCATGAAGAAGTACTCGGTTTTCGTCAAATTCTCCAACGCCATGGACCGCGGCGGAATGGGCAAGGAAGACGATGACATCAAGGTCGACAATGTCATCTGTCGGACACCAGCTCGTAACGCGCAGAGCCTGGACCTTGTCAAGCAGGAGATCATGGACATGGTCGAGAAAGTTGTAAGTTGCTTGTTTCATCCACCTTGAACTCTAAGAGACTCATAATGTTTCACAGGATGCCGAATACGTGTCCGAGCGCGTTGTTATCAACAGGCTGTATCACCGTGAACTGCTGGCTCGCATGACCGAGATTGACGAGCTGGAGAAGAAGTGGAACTGCAAGATCGAGTTTCCCAGCACTGAGCTTGCGAGCGATGTTGTGGCCATCTCCGGTCCCGAGTACCAAGTTCCCCAAGCCGTGGATGCTCTACTGGGTATGGTTCCGGAGAGCCATGAGCTTCACTTTCAGAGCTCTACCCAACTCCGCGAGTACTTTAAGGCTCCCGACTTCATCGCAGATGTTCGGACCAAGCTCAAGGAACAGTACGAGGTCGATATCACGGTGGATGTTAATACCGATCTACCTTCGACGCCCGAAGAGGGGTCATCCCCAACTCCTGCTGGCCCCGAGGATCGAGTGGTGCTCGGATATACACGGAACAATGCCGGCGGCCTCAAGGATGCCATCGACTTCTTGATATCGGTGCTTGTGGCTCACGGGCTCGATGCGACAACGGTCAAGGGAGCTATCCCGCGGCCCAAGTCCGACTCGTTTGAAGAGTCGCTGCCATTCTTCGACTCAAAGCTCTTACAGCACGCCCCGACACCGCTGGTGACGGACTCGCCGACTCGGCCCAACTTCTCCGACGAGGCCAGTGAGCGGGGCTCGATCTTCGAGCGCCTTCGCAAGCCAGGCAGCATCTCGTCCTTCTCCTCATTCATCGGCCGCAAAAACCACTCCGCCTCGCCGGGCTCGTTCTTCAAGCACGCCTCCAGCAACGCCTCCAAGGCGTCCCTCGTCTCGATGGAATCGCGGGACAGCGGCTACCGCAATCCCTGGAACGATTCCGGCGTCAACCTCCCCGAGGATGACCTGCCCGTCCTGGGCAGCTCGCACAGCCACAAGAGCAGCAACAGCAACGGCGGCTGGCCGGCGCGCTTCGACGGCAAATTCCCCTTCGGCACGGCCCCTGGCGACATGACCCCCAAGCATGACCTGCGCGCCTCTTTTGACAGCGGTCGTCCTAGCACTTCGAATTCTACTTCTGGATACCCGGCCCCGATTGGGCCACCGCGTTAAAACACCCCACCCAAAATATCCATTTGCAGCAGTATACCCTTTTGATTTGATTTTTTGATTTTTTTTTCCCCTTCAGTTTCCAGCGCTTGCGTGTTTCGGTTTGTCTGTCTTTTTGTGTGCTTTTGATTGATACCACGGAACGCAAGCAATGAAAGGCGTCAAGAAAAGAAAATGAGATATCCAAGAACGCGCGATAGAGCGGGATTCGCTCCCGAGGAGTGGGAGTGGAGTTCGCATTTTTGTTTTATGTGCTTTTTTTACCCCCTGTCGTTGTGTGGCTTTTTTTTCTTTGCAGTTTCACCGTCACTCTGTCAAAGAGGAAAAATACCCTTTCAAAGGACGGTAGGATTGGATTGGGATGGAGCCATATGGTTTGTCACACACAGTTATGTGTTTTTGATGATGGGTCTGGCTGGGATTTATTCTTTTCGGTGACTCTGCTTTCTGGAGTTACTGTGCTCGTTTTTTGATTCTGATCTTTGTTGTTGATGCTTTGATATCCCCAGATCAATGAGATTTCACTTGACTTTCGAGCCCTATGAAGCTTCCTGCCATATATATCGTTTCTCCCATGGATGATATGTAGAACCCACCATCACCAAACAGTGTACAACCAGATCAGTCAGCCCAATTATTACCTACCTATGGCGCCTGCACCCTGCATCGTCGAAAGGCTGTACAAGAGGTGGACACCATAGCAAACTCAATTTACCCACGACTTGTTTCCCAATCCGCTAACCCTATTCTGGTTACTTTTTGGTGAACCCTGTAAGTCACATCAGCAGGACAACAACACATGACTCGTCGTTTGGAGCGGGGAAACTGCTCATACAAAGGACTCTTGGTCCTGATCGCTCGACGCCTCTCTCCCGTCGCAAGCAGTCTTCGTTTAAGCCCGTCTTACTAAAGTCCTTCAGCCAATCGACTCGACCCTCTAAGCTATCTCTTAATACTTCAGTAATCTTTGTCTTCACTAGAACTCTCTGTGAACAATGTCGAGTCTGAATAGCTTTGCCGCAACCACCACGACAAGATACAAATCGCCTATTCCTCCGAACGTCGAGATTGCCAAAACAAAGCCTGCATTCGCTCAGATCCAAAACGCCAACATAGGATCACTTGTCGGCCCCGAAAACGGCGGGTACTATCTCAAGTATCCGGAGGGCAAGGTCGTAGCAATCGCTTCTGATCGCCTCTGTTCTGTTATGGACGACTCCTATATGGTGCTCTATTTTAATCTCGAGAGGCAAGGCCTACACGAAGAGGCTGAAGAAACAATGGAGGACTTACGGAAAGCTGGGATTGATGCGGATCGGCTTAAGAGAGACGCAAGCGATGCGATTAAGGGCGGTGCATGTGTTATAGACCCTGATGTCGGAGCAATATCTACCAGTTAAAGCTTCAAGATTTGCTGTCTTCTTTGCTGCTCTTAATAGTGTGATTGTGTGATAGAAATTAGCATCCCCGCTGTAAGTGTTTCTCGCATCAGATTGGGTCAAGAGTTCAACCTCTGCTTTTTCACCCGTGAGTTTACTCGCGAGAAGAGTTGTGCACTTCAATGTATCGAGGGCTGGGGGAACCGCGGTGATCTGACAATTTTGCACTGCTAATCGTGATTTAAGTTACTCGTTCAGGCGCATTGTATCTACGATCTTCTCATCGTAATTTTTACTAGATAGGGGATGAAGGTAGTGTACTATGAAGACTTAGTATTGAATCAGAAAGCAAAGAAGGCAAAGCACTCCAATTTCCTATCTAGTTCACCCGGCAAAAAGACCATTCTCATTCCCGCCCACAATGTTTGTTCGAAACTTCATGCTTCTGTTCCTTCCCCGTCTTCGTCTCTTTCTTCCCATCCTTCTCCCCACTAGCCGATTAGAACAATCAGAGAGAATTCACGCTTTCCGAGAAAGGCTGCTTTGGTGCATTGGAGGACTCAAAATTGGGCAGACTCATAGTGAGGATGTTCGATGTCTATGTTGAGGTGCTGCTTGACCAAAGTATTTCTGCCATCCACTCTGCAGAGGCGCTTTTTGGCGATATGAAGCTTGATGAGGCTGTCCCAAGCTTGAAAGCCCTTTCCTGCGCCGGGCTTTTGAGACTTACCCATGTTCTCATGTCCCAAGACGACAAGACAATTCTGAGCACGACTGAGTGCGACGCACATCCGTTGCAAGTCGGAAACAAAGCCAAGGCCAATATTGCCTCCAGGGCGAGTTGTGGAAACAATGACCATAGAGCATTCATTGCCTTGGGAGGCATCGACACTCTTGATCTGGATGTCGGGGTGGCCCAGCTTTTTGTTGATGAGCTCAGAAAGCACTTGTCTCTCCTCGCTGTAATAAGAGAGGATCATGAGGCGATTCTCCGCGCAACCTTTTTTCAGAACTTTCTGCACCAGTTCCCCGACGTAACTAACATATTCAGGGTTCACCAATGAGCTTCCTCCGAGGCGCTTCAGCACGGTCGTATTAGCGACTGACACGGAAAAAGAATTCCCAGCCGAACATCTTAGCAAGTCCTTCATGGTATCCGCCCAGTGCTTAATTTTTGGGCTCTGAGCAGAAGTTGGGTCTGTCGTCAATCTGCCGTTGTAGAATTGTTTGCTCACGAACTCTGCGATGTCCGGAGCCATTCGATACTGGACATTTAGCTCGACGTGCGGGTGGCCAGATCTTATCAGCCTCTCAAAAAGGGACTCCTTCTCCCAGAAGTAGCATTCGTTGCGGTTCTTCGAGATGACAGTCGGAGGAAGTTGTTGCTTGTCTCCGCTGAGGACAATCTTCTGCAAAGATGGAACCCCGGCCATGATGCCATTTAGACACTCGGCCTCCGATAACTGGGAGGCTTCTTCAACTAGCACGTATGCTGGTTTGAAGGTTCGCAGTATGCCCCTGCCCGCCGTTGAGGCTGTGCAAAGCACTACCTTAGCCTTCTCTAAGTAGGACTTCTGTAGCTCCACCCACGTCCGTTGATATTCCCGGCCGATGACCTTCTGGAGGTCCTCGACTTGCTGCTGGGGGCCAGCACCAGGATAGGTGATGGCTGCAACAGGCTCTACTAGCAACATTGCACGCTCTCGCATGCAATGTTGCCAGCATATGAATTCCGAGAGCAGTTCGTATTCGGCCTGGTCCTCAGCTGAACCGTCCTTGAGGGGACAGTTGCGAGTCCCCGCCAGTGCCGCTCGGGTGATTATGAATTGGCCAAGGGACAAGTCTCGGAACGGGGGTGAGACACTCTCAACGGAAGCACGGAGAAAATTTTGGACATCGGGAAGATCATGTTCCTCGAACACCTCTTGGATCTTTTGGAATTGCGCATGAGCAGGGCTTTGACGAGCCGATGTCTGCGCCTCTGATGTCTGGATCTCGGGATTTTCTAGGTAGTCGGTCTCCAGGCGATAGATCCCCGAAAGCCCGAGGGATTGCTCTTGCACGGTGGACATGATTCTTTGTCCAATCATGTCTAGGGCATGATTCGATCCTGCGACGATGAGGAGTGGTAGATCCTGCTTGATGCACCATTCGGCAATGGAAGCCGAAACTGCCGTCTTACCGGTGCCTGGTGGCCCAGTGATGAGCGTTGCCAAGCTTCTTGAAGTCTTTCTTGTTGCAAATACTTCTCTGATTGCCTCCAGCTGCTTCGCATTTCGACGGCTCTGGAGTCCAGTAAGAAATTTCTCGGTGTCGGCGTCGACTTGACGCTCTGGCGGATACAGAGCCAGGGTGCTATTGTCGTAGCCAAGAAGGAGACGTTTCAACGCAGTATTCTCTGCGATTCCAAGACCCGAATTTCCCCACATTACGTTGTGGATGGCTTTTCGTGCTGAGGCAAATGGAGGTGTCTGGTTACCAAACACAACGTCGCCCGTTAGGGTCAAGACAATGCCGGCGGATATCTGGATGCTAGGTCGATTGACCCGGACCACAATGCGGTTCACCGGCAGATCCCCCTCTTGTTCCGATACTGTTGATGAAGAAACAACAACGCCTGACAGTCGTTGTCCTTTCCTGATCCTCGGCCCGTCTGGTGTTGACCACCCTTCGGGGTGATCGTGACCCGGCTCCTCGGCTCAGGTAAAGGGAGAAGGCCTTGCTCGTGCTCTGCATTATCAGAGTCCACCTGGACTTCCAGAACAGCGTAAAACACGTCTGAATCTGATCCCCCGTGGACCGAGGAAGCGGCAAATAGTTGAAAGGTATATTCCTTGTTGAACAGGGAAACATAAGCTTTCTTCGCAGCTTCCACCTCCCGAAGCAGACCAATCATTCTGATGGCCTCATATTGGCGTTCATTCACGAACGTGGGGGCTGGGCTGGGTGAAAAGCAGAAGATTGCCTCTTCTTTGGTGTAACGGGGTCTTCTTGGAGGGTCGTTTGACCATCCCAGTTCTCGTCGCCGGTGATGCTTTTGGATATTTTGATCATCCAATGAAGGAATCTCGCCAATGGGCGCCATCTTTTGTGCTTGTGACTGGTAGCGAGCGTCATAAAGAGGGTAAGGCGGGTAGGTGGGTTGGCTCATTCCTCGCAGTATTTCCCAGTTTAAGTTCAAACGGTCACGGACTCGAGTCACTGCTTTGAGCTGGAGATTCCCTGATGAGATCTTCCTGAAGTTCTCGACTGCCTTCTGTTGTCCAGACTCAAGTTTCTCCAACGTCGAGTCGGGTATATCAAATCCGAAGCAATAAGGAGCAGTCGCGTAACTCCACAACACCCGGTACGCCTCCTTTCCTTCGTCTAATTGGCAGGCAATAGCCATCTCCTTCGTAAGCTTGATTGGCTCCAGGTGCGCGTTAAATAGTCTGGTAGAGAAGGAGCTCTTTTCGGCACCATTTCCCCTGGTTTGGAGGTCAAACGCGGTGACTTTATCCTCAGCCCAGGCAGTCCATACCGCGACCAGTCCCCGAGTATTTTGCTTCGGAATTTGAAGACGGAGGGACACTCGAAAGTGAGGGATCTCCATCCCGCCGTCAATGGAGAATCTCAGTTGCGCACTAGGCGCGGAGCAAATGTAGACTTTCTTGAGTGTTTTGCCCTCCAATGACAGACCGCAGACTACCGGTCTGGTAAAGCTTTGGAATAGATGGAGGGTTCTGGATTCACCGCGTTTGCCCTTCCCAAAGTCATCCGCACCAAGAGCCATGTAGGCATTGTACCATTTCAGGTCATTTTGCAAGTACTCCGAAAAGTCAATCGTGGACGATTCAGCCATGGTTCCAGAAATGAAAAAATCAGAAAGACTCGCAATGTTAAGCAAGGCCGAAGCACGAAAGTCAGCAAAGATGATGTTGGGGGCTGCCTCTCTGAGGCTCGCCTGAAGAATGATGAGTGCCGAGTTTTGTAAGGGACAGTAAGAATCGAAAGGCGAGTGAGAAAACCACTTCGTTGAGCGTGGCTGCGGAGAAGAATGTGTGACTCCCTGAGTAGCCACACGTTCCTGGGGGAAAGCAGAAGCCTGTGAAGGCTGAGGGGGATAGTCGGTCGGTCGTGAGTTCAGAGTTGTGGAAGGAGTAAAAGAAGGAGGAAGAGGAAGCAGGGCGAGGACAGCCTTTTTATAGGGAGCTTTATGCAGTAAATGGAGAAGCAAACAATATTCTTTGTCCAGGTATTCATGCAGGCAAACAGCTCTATAATGGCAAATTCTGGGATTTCGAGGCATCCAAGGCTCCAAATGACAGTCTCGATGTAGCTTCATCTGTTCCAACCAGCCGTGGCTACTCTAGATCCCTATTTGACTATGTAATCTATGACCCCACTATCTGCTGGATCTCATTGCACGAAGCTGAGTAAATCAAATGTTGTATGAGGCTGCCGGCCGCTCACTGAGTCGCTTATACTCGGATGTTGGCTGCAGGCCTTGCCATCGAGTAGAACCCTCTCTATTTGTCCACAAAGATACGATCCTTTTGATTCTCTGGAGCGTTTGAGTAGTTGGAAAGCCACGGGTGCGAGAAAACGAATTGCTAAAAGGAGCTAGAGACTTTTCACTGTCTTGGAAATGCACCCGAAGGAGCGCTGTTGGCCGGAATAAGGTTGGCGGGATCTAGTCCAAATGTGGCATAGTCCCGAGATTCAACACGACGATCATCTTCAGAAACGCAGTATAGTACAGGCCCATCCACCTTGCTCCTAATGACCATTGATTTAATTTAACCTGCTTACAGAGAGACATGGTTGTGGAGGAAAAGTGATCAACCGTTCAATCCCCAAATACGACGCCTCTGTTAGAAAACACAATTCGTTCGCCATTCATGAGTGATGTGGTAGGACCAAGAAACCGTTCTTGCTGATTCGAGCCCTGGTTTTGTTTACCTTTGGTTCTCAATTAGGAATAGCAGGCAGGCGCTCTTTCACTATGAGTCACGCCTGCCTATCTGCCCATGTACCTGCTTCCCATCCTCCTCCTCCTTCTTCTTCTTCTACACTCATCATCCATCCCGCTTCCCCATCTACTCCCTCGCGTTGTCTCTACTTGACGCATCCTCGAGACTATTGCCCCAGCCACTCTATGAAGGAGGGCTGCCATCACCACCCCAACCCCCCTCCTGTCGTCTGTGCCTGACAGAGTCCTCGAGCCTGGTTCTCCAGCCACTCCGTGAAGGAGGGCTGCCACAACCACCCCATCGCGTCTCGTCTCTTCCTCACAGTCACTTCGTGAAGGAAGGCTGCCATCACCCCACCTCCCACGTGTCGTCTGTACCTGACGCATCCTCGACCCTGTTTACTTCAGTCACTCCGTGAAGGAGGGCTGCGGCCTCCCACCAGTGTCGACGCGCACCTCAAAATCATAGCGCCTTTCTCGTACCAGGTACAGTGCCCTGCTTTACTTCTTCCTACTTCCCATTGGTTCCCTTAGTTGTCTCTCGTTAACATAGTCTCTCAGTATGAATCCTACCCCGGTCCCAGAGGCAGAAGACCAGGAGAGGCTACCTCTCATTGAGAAGTTGGCCAAGCTTCTTGAGCTTGGCCAAGTTGACCCGGCCACATGGGCTTGTTTTTGGCTGGCGGACGTCTCGAAATTGCAAGATCTGGTTAAAAAGGCTGAAGATGGGGATGCATACATTTTGCTCTTTAGCCATTCCGGTCCACACAATGATCATCTCGCCAAGTTGTGTAAGTCAACTTGTCGCTTGACTAGTCCAAACCAAAGCTTACGTCTTCTAGGGTCCGCACGTGGCCGATCCGTCCGACCTTCGGTTGTTCCGAAGTCTCGGAGGTCATCGAAAATCCCTCGGCGGGACCGGTCCAAATCGCCCGCAAAAGCTTCTCAGCCAAGCAAAACGATCGCTCCTGGAGGCCCACGTCTCCTCCCAGTTCACCAACTGCGCTCAGATCCTGCCAAAAAAGCCGTAAGTCTCATATATGGTTCTATATATCTAGCTTTTGCTAATTATAAGTAGTGCAAAAAGCGCGACAATGAATTCTGCGTTATCACCCATTCTGATCCCGGAATTGAAGTCGCCCACATCTATCCATACGCCTTGGGACAGAATGAGGGAACTCCTGAGCAGACTAGATTCTGGGCAAATTTACGATTGTTCTGGGATGATACGAAGATCGCCAATTGGAAGAATGCGCTGGCTAGAGACGGCACTGAAACTTGTGCCAACATGCTGTGCCTCACGCCGGATGCGCATAGACTATGGGGACAGGGTTGCTTCTCGTTAGAGCCTATTGAGCTCAGCGAAGATGAGAAGACGCTGACCACCCGCTTTTGGTGGTTCCCTCGGAAGACATCTGATGACTCCGTTCGTCTTCTTACCCCCCCAGATGTGCCCGCCGATCTTACAGGCACTGGCCGGGCCACGCTCTTCGACCTTGCGACTACGCGACTGATTTGCTCCGGTGACTGCATTGTCATGCGTACTGAAGATCCTGACAACCTCCCCCTCCCATCGATGCACCTGCTTCAGCTGCAGTGGATCCTTAATCGAGTTGTCGGTCTGAGCGGAGCCGCCGAAGAATTTCTTTGGGACTCGGATGACGTTGATTCAGAGCTGGAGGAGGAACTGGAGGAGAATCTGGAAGAAGAGGAGCTGAAGAAGGAGAAGAAGTTGGTGCTGCGGCCTCGACATGACCTCCCCCGGCCGGTGAAAACGCCCCGCCCCCGTCTCTCCCCCATCCAAGTCTTGAAGGCAAGGCCCCACAGGCCCAGCAGAATCTGCCACTGTTGGGTGCTCGCAATCCAAATGTCTGGCGCGGGGTGTAGAGCTCGAGATTATTGATATTATCCAATGCTACTTTTTGCTGCCCATTCCTCTATAATCGTAGCATATACACCGTATAGCTTGTAGGGATAATCTGCCAATAGGATTGTATGGGTGGAATATTATCTTGTCTCCGGCGAGCATGGGATAATAGACTCTTTCTTGCTTTATTCTATAGTACGTAGTTGAGCTTACTGGAGATAGTGGGTACAGAACCCTTCGATTATGCAACTACCTAAACACAAAATGCCTAGGCCACGATTATAAAAATGAAGAGAAAAAAAGGTTCTTCAGTAACGCTGAGAACCACGCTGAACCAGATCACCAGCGCCGTCCAATGCAATATGACGTCCATCCTCGCCTTCGTAGTATCGCCGCTCCCGAACGGGTCGCGGGGCAGGGACATATACCGGTCGGTTCCAGTACTCGCCGACTGGGGGCTCTTCCACCCTGTACTCAGGCGCTCGACGGTCGTCCACGTATACACTCGCCTCGCGACCGGGCCCAGTCGGCCTCACACTCCCAGCTCGCTGCACAAAGTCATGCGGCTCGTCGTACCGAGTTGGTTGAGGGCGCACGCTTGTTGTGCGGACGATCCTTTCTGGGGGAGGGGGATTGTATTCTTCATAGTACGCCGGTTGTCGCGGAGCATATTCAGCAACTTGCACGCTACCGGGACGCGAGTAAGTCGTCTCATGTCCGTCCAGTGGTGCGGCATAGACTCGTCTGTCGCTGGTTGTGGGACGGGCGTAGTCTGAGGTGACACGCCGATAGACGGGCTGTGGTGGTGGCATTTCTTGTACGTACCGTTGCTCGCCATAGGGATCTTGCACCACAGACGCGGCGCGAATGCTGGCAGAACGGAGAGGAGCGCGATCCTCGTACACATCGCTTCTCGATACCTGAGACATGGGACGAGGTGGCGGAGCCATGGGCTGTGTCCTCTGCGCCGGCACCATTTCGATATACTGAGTGCCATGCTCGTCGACCACGATCCGTCGCGGTGGGGGAGCCATCGTTCGTGCCGGAGGGACCTCCTCGTAATACGGCTCCTGATATGTTGGTGGCAGTTCATCAACAGCAACGTAGCGGCGGCCATAGGAAGGAGGGGCTTCTTCGTAATATCTCGGCCGGTCGACCACCGTATAGGATGCGGACCGGGCCATAGGTGGGTTGACATCAGGATGCTCGCGAGGATAGTCAGACTGCCTAGCATATTGAACGGTTGCGACGCGGCGAAGATCTCCGTCGTCACGAACTGGCCGTCTGGTGCTGAGCCGAGAATTTGTACGTGGTGGCCCTGGCTCCAATGCGGGCTCGTAGTACCCGTGAGTTTCGTAAACCGGCTCGCGCCTCTCAGCCACTGGGGTGTACCGTGGCGACACACTGTCGATGTACACAGGCTGCTCTTGACGCTGTCGACCGCGAAGAATTTCGGGGTCATCGGCAAATGGCGGTGGAGATACTGGCTCTTGTTTGATGTAGATTTCTGTAGGTTTTGCATGCGATGCGTGGCCAGATCCACCATCAAGTCTTCTCCGCTTTCGAGAGATCACATTCGGGGCGGGTGCAGTCGGGCTGCCGCGGGCAGAATCTGGGTCAGAATACACCTGGTCTGATTGGTATCCAGTACGCTCATCACGAAGTTGTTGGATGGCCGGGGCTTTCTTTGTGGCTAGAGGCGACACTCGTGATGGCCGCGGAGCTGCAGGAGAAGTGATATGGTTCTGAACCACTCTAATGCCATTTGCAGGGGAAGGAGGTCTGCGCATTTCCTGGCCGCGAACGGGATACCTGCCGTCCGAGACACGTCGTCGCCCTCTGGCACCGCGCTGGTCATCTTGATAGTCCACTGGGGGCACCGTTGGCGCAGGCGGAGAATACTCCGGCTCCTCCAGAGGCTCAACCGGTTGCTGTAACTCGGCATGGCCATGTCGCGGCTGCTGCTTCTGAACATACAGTGAACGCTGGTCAGCCACAGAGTAAGCATCATGCATTTCCTGATCAGATCCAGGAGGATTGAGAGCTTCCAGTCGTTGCAACTCATCTGATTTGTGGCCCGAAACGCGAGCCGCTGGAGATGGCCTTTGGGGATCGTCAATCTCAGGGGGCGAGTCTGGGGCTCTACTGGAATAAAAGGAGTTGTCGTCATCACCGGGGCCAGTAGCCTCCGAGGGATCACTCAAAGAGAGGGGTTTCACAAGCTCAAGTGCTCTGTTCAACACCTCTTCGACATCAAATTCCGGGTTTGTGTCCTGCAGCAGGAGTTTTTGTTTTGTTTCTTGCTTCTTTTGCTCCACTTGGTCCCGCAGCGCTCTCTCCACCCGTTGTCGTTGTAGCTGTAACTCCGCTCTCACGAGATCGTCTGACTTGGTCAAGAAGATAGGATTGATCTCTGAAGCAGGTTTGGGGGCAACGCGGGTCGGGGGAGGAGTGGCGGTCGCAGGAGGTTGAGAGGCATGCGTTTTCTTGGGAGTTGGTTTGGAGGGATTGGTTTTTGCTGGCTGTGTCTGGGCCAGGGGAGCAGGTTGACCATTGCGAGTGGTTGATTTCCGCACAAACTGTTGGGGCACTTTGAGACGAGGATGTAGTCCCCGGAAAATGTCATCGCTGATCTTGAGAATTCTCTCATATTCCTGCACCTCGTCGGTCGTCGCCGGCGCGGAGGGAGTCATCGGTCCTGCTGCAAGGTGAGTAGCTGACCCATGAGCTGCAGCCATGGCCTAAGGGAGAGGGAACTGGGATGCAGAAGCTTCTGGGACGGCAATAGATGAGGGGCTTTCACCTCATATGTCCCGTGGTCTCTTCCAGAAGCAACTGGCGCGAACCAACGAAAGAAAGGAAAGAAGAAGGTGCAAGTTGATGCGCAAGGGTAAAGATTATTTGACAGGCGCTAGTCCAGAAACTGACTAGTCCGCCCAGTCACGGGAAACAGCCGCTAAGCCAATAAGGATCCGTGGCCCTCAGTCCCGGGGGCAGGAATGCGCCGTGACTCTTAACTAACTGCCGGGCCATTAGCGCTATTCATGCTGTCTTCCCTCCTGCGCTTCTCTCATTCCCGTTTCGCCTCGCTCCCGCGAGCTCGTTCCTTCACTATGACCGCCATTGACTCCCGCCCGGTATTCTTCTTTGACATCGACAACTGTGTACGTCAGCCCATTCGAGCATGATTAGCTACAGCAGCCGCTAACCAACCGTGGGGCATACAGTTGTACTCAAAATGTTGGAAACCAATCCTCAACTGCCAAACGAGCCACGACTGACTCAACTCTCCAGCATGCAATGTCCACGATGAGATGCAGACACTCATCAGTCAGTCCTCCCAGCCTCGATCATGTCGGGAATGCGATGCTAACCCATCTTCTGATTTGTCTAGACAAGTTCTTCGTCAAACACCTTACCCTCAACAAAGACGATGCGCATATGCTGCACCAGAAGTACTACAAGGAATATGGACTCGCCATTGAGGGCCTCGCTCGCCACCATAAGATCGACCCGCTCGTGTTCAACTACGAGGTTGACGACGCCCTGCCCCTCGATGCGTGCCTGAAACCGGACCCCAACCTGCGCAAGTTGCTGCAAAGCCTGGACACCAGCAAAGTGAAGCCGTGGTTGCTCACTAATGCCTACATCAACCATGCGAAACGGGTGGTGAAGTTGCTAGACGTCGAGGAATTCTTTGAGGGCGTCACCTTCTGTGACTATGGGCAATTGCCGCTGGTCTGCAAACCCAGTCAGGATATGTATGCGAAGGCGGAGAAGGAGGCTGGTGCTCCTAGTACGGAGTCGTGCTTCTTTGTTGGTATGTACTTCCGTTTCCTGGACACCACAAGCCAGCAGCCGGATGCTAATGTCATATAGACGACTCTCACTTGAATTGCAAGCATGCGCAAGACCGAGGGTGGACCGTCGTCCATCTGGTTGAGCCAGGGCAACCGATTCCACGAATCCCGGCATCGAGATACTTGATTTCCAGCCTTCAGGAGCTTCGGACTCACTTTCCACATGTCTTCAAGCCGCAAGCCGAAGAGGCTTAGAGTATTGTCATGATACATCATTCTGGTTGTTTTGTCTATAGAATTCTCGCTTTGTGCGGGCTACGAATGTACATAGCTTAATGAGTCTGTTGTTGTTCTCTTCGAGGATATTGTAGTGGTTGACTTAGGGCAAGTTTCTGCCTCAGGCTACCTGTTGATCGGCGCGCGTCCAGTGTCCGTTCGTTCAGGGACTCCGTATCGACCCTTGTCCTTCAACCCTCTTCGGCCAACGACCACAGTCAAAGCCCGTCGTGGCACCGCATTTCGCACGATGGCCGATCGAGAGATCTCATCCGGCTCGGTGATCAGCCTCACCGACGGACGCCAGGCCACCGTTCGCTTCCTCGGCGCCACGCACTTCGCGCCCGGAGAATGGGTTGGCGTCGAATTGAACGAAGCCACAGGCAAGAACGATGGCTCTGTGCAAGGACAACGCTACTTTGACTGCGACCCGGGCCACGGCATGTTTGTGCGTTCCACGGCGATCGCATCTGTTATTCAACAGCCCGCGCGGGAGAGTAAACAAACCACCCGGCCCGGCACTGGTCCAGCGGGACCCAGATCCGCAGGCTTGAAGAGGCAGAGTGGACTTCCTGCTACGGGAATTAAGCGTCAGAGTACTGGTCCAGCTTCGACTCCCACTCCCGCTCAGAGAGTTGGAGCCCCCCGTTCGTCCCTGAGGGTATGTCATGACTCCCCTATCTCCGTTGGCATGACTTTGAGCTAAATTTCCTTTTTTTTTTTTTCCATAGTCCCCCACAAAGTCACCGACAAAGCAACTTTCAGGATCCTCCGGGCCCTCCAGTCGCTCCTCCACCAGCGCTGCCGCTCGCACCTCTACCGCGGCGCCCACTCGTCCACGACCAACCAGCGCCGTCAGGCCCTCAATGGGAGGCCCAGCATCTCAATCTACTGTCTCCAAACCAGCGCGACCTTCAGCTGTCGGGACGGTGACTCGGACGGCACGGCCTGGCTCTCAAAGCACATTGGCGAGCTCTGCGGCAGCTAAGCGTACCTCCGTGCGACAGACTGCTGCTGCAAAGGCGTCAGATGGCCCGGATACTGGAACAAGTGGACAGTCCGAAGATGCTACTGATGCGGAGTCACTTGACACCGAAGGGGATGCGACGCAAAACGAAGTCCCGGCACCAAAACCCGCTCGGCAGTCTTTGACTACCGCACGTCCGGCTGGTGCAAGAGCAGGCATGACCTCGTCGACATCACAACGCCAGCTGTCAAGTGCCAACGTTTCTCGAGAACTTGAGGAACTGCAAACAAAGCTTCGGGTCATGGAGAAAAAACGGGCGGAAGATCGTGAGAAACTCAAGACCCTCGAACGACTCCAGTCTGAGCGCGACAAGTTCGAATCCATTATTCAAAAGCTACAGGCCAAGTATCAGCCCCAGCAGATGGAGATCACTGAGCTGCGCAAGAAGCTTAAAGAATCCGAAGGCAGACTGGAGGAAGTTGAGCGCCTGCAGGCAGAACATGAGTCCCTCATGGAGATGGCTTCTCTTGACCGGGAAATGGCGGAGGAGACGGCCGAAGCATTCAAACATGAGTGCGATGCCCTTCGCTCAAAGATGGAGGAGCTCCAGCTGGAGGTGGAAGTTCTTCGAGAGGAGAATGAAGAGTATGGCCAGGAGACGAGTCCGGAAGACAGGTCCAGCCATGGATGGCTGCAGATGGAAAAGACGAACGAACGTCTCCGCGAGGCACTTATCCGCCTGCGGGATATGAGCCAGGCACAAGATGCGGAACTCAAGGCCCAGGTCAAAGAACTGGAAGACGACCTGGAAGAATACTCCAAAGTGAAATCTGAGTATGAAGCTACCAAGGAGAAACTGTTGGTGGCGGAGACAAATGTGGACGACCTCAAGCAGCAACTGGAGACCGCTCTCGGCGCCGAAGAGATGATCGAGGAATTGGCAGACAAGAACATGGCCTACCAGGAGGAGATCAATGAACTCAAGGCTGCCATCGAAGACTTGGAATCACTCAAAGAAATCAGTGATGAACTGGAGTACACCCACATCGAAACAGAGAAGCAGCTCCAGGAAGAGATCGATTATCGGGACGGCGTATTTAGTGAACAAATGCGACGGATTGGACAGCAGGATGAAGTCATCGAAGACCTTGAGTACACATTGTCCCGTTTTCGGGAGCTGGTTACGAACCTGCAGAGCGATTTGGAAGACATGCGGGCCTCTCAGCAGATTTCCGAAGCAGAGGCTACAGACCTCACATCCCGTTCTCGAGCTATGATAGACTTGAACATGAAGCTGCAGGCCTCTGTCTCAAAGTCGCAGACCAAGTCTATTAACATGGAGCTGAGCCGGATGGAGGCAGACGAAGCATCGCAGCACCTGTCAATCCTCAAGCTGTACCTTCCCGAGTACTTTGAGGGTGAGAAGAACTCTATCCTGGCACTTCTGCGCTTCAAACGTGTCGGCTTCAAGTCCGCAATGATGAGCAGCACCATCCGCGAACGCGTTTCGGACCAGTCAGCAATCTCGACGTACGAGGAAGTCTTTACGGCCCATGAAGTTCTGGAACATCTTCTTTGGATCTCTACCCTATGCGACCAGTTCGTGAACTACATCACATCTTGCTCGCCGGAGCAGTTTGGTGAAATCAAGGCTGCGTTGTTTGAAATGGAGCCAGTTGAGCGGACCATAAATTTCTGGATCGAGAATTTGAAAAAGAATGAAGTCAACATGAAGAAGTTTGCAGTGGAGCTGCAACGGTCCATCGCTTTGCTCACGCATCTGGCTGAGACGCTTCTTCCCTCGAACCCGGAAATATTCTCGGACGAGTTGTGTATGCGGGCAAACTTGTCCCAGTCATATCTCGATCACGCGGCGGGAGCGATCTCGCGACTCAAGTCTCTCATTCAGTCAAAACTTGGCACTCCGGAGGAGGGCAGCGAGGAGATCTCCTTTGCTCTGAACAAGATGGACGGCTTCGTGTCTCAAGCTCGCGGATACAAGGTCGCCATGGGCAAAATCTCTCGGTCTCTTGACGAGCTTCGCTCAAGATCACTTGCGCTTTCTAAGGAGGCAGACGAACCTTTCAAGCTGACTGAAGCCGCTACTCGAGGGCTTTCAGAGTTCGCTCGACGACTCGGCGAGAATATTGTCGTTCTCACCAGCGACGAAGGTCGCACCGAACCATTCACCTTGGAAGAAGTCTTGGAAAGCATGGCACAGGTCTCCACGTCTTCTGTTCAGTCGTCAGAGGCGTCAAGTGAAAATAACGATACCTTGTCTTTGCTCGTCAACAGACTGCGGGAGGTGGGCGGTCAGTTAGAGGAGCTGGATGCCATTTCGTCGGATCTGTCTCGAACAACTGAATTTGAGAGGGGCGCATTCCCTTGGATTGCCCGTTCGGAAGAACTCAAGTCCAACAAAACGATCTCCCCAGATGCGGATGAGGAAATTCGCCGCCTCAAGAATGAAGTCCATGAGGTTTCCACCGCACTTGGTGTGAAAGACAACAACATCGAGGAGCAGACTATCAAGATCGAACTCCTCGAATCCAGAATGAAAGAGGCAGGCAAGAAGGCTTCTATGGTGAAAGATCTTGAGGCAAAGATCGAAGAAATCCGGAACGCGGGCGACGAACTCGAGAAGACCGTCGAGCGCCAGAAGAAAGAGTTGCAGACCGCCGAGGCTGAGCGAGACGAGTACAAGGTCCGACTGGAGCGGATGAAGCGTGTCTCCGGAACGGCAGGTGTCACCACCACCAGCGACGGTGTTGTCATCGACAGCGAGGCCTCCTTGGCCGCCATGCACGAGAACGAGACACTCCGCGCTGAAGTCCAAAGCCTCCAATCGGCCGTGCGTTTCCTACGTGAAGAGAACCGCCGCGCGAACATGCTCGACCCGTACTCCGTGCAGCGCACCACAGAACTGCACGCCTGGCTAGACGCACCGCTCACCCGACCAAGCCCGACCCCCGAACAAGAAAAGCTCCAGCGTACCGCCCTCGAAAGCCGCGATGTCCTAACCCACCTCTTGAAGCTGACCAAGGAGTCCCGCGTCTGCGATCTGAAATCAACTCTCCTCCCATCATCAGCCAGTGGCGATAATCCCACAAGCAGTACCAGGACTGCATGGCGTCCGTCGAAAACCCGCCTCCGCTACCAGGTTTTGCAGCAACGCGAGAACTTCGAGCACTGGGCTGAATGGCGCAATGATATCGTCGACTACGAACGTGAACAGGATCGTCTGGCGGCGGCTAAGCGGGAACGTGCGCTGCGCCAGCGCGCTCCGAAGCATGCGCACAAGGCCTCGGTTGAGTTTCCTCAGGGCCTGGGACATGGCATGATGGGTGGCGCGTGGCGCATGCTTGGGATGGGTGCTGATGAGGGCCGCAAGCCTGCTGTGTCTGGCTCGGGTGGCGTGGAGATTGTATCTACGGACTGAATTGTAGTCCGACGTGTGTGAATATGCTTCGAGATGGAGATAGATCTTCTTTGAGCTGTACATAATATTGGTTCTGATGTTTTTTTTTCTTTGTTCTATTTTTGTCTTATACCCTCTGCAAATACTACCTACCAGTGCGGTTGATGTTGTTGGATCTGCCACTTTTCTCCTTTGTCCTTGTCATAAGATAGCACAATATCAAGGATCTCACGTTATGTAGAATAAGATGTTTAGCTTGACGGCCGTGCCGATTCCGCTTATGCTCTTCGCTCTCTTTTGGCTACATATAATCTTGCTCTAACTCTCTGTGGTAATGTCACGAGCCAGTCCCGTTCCAAGTTCCTCCTGCTTACTTTGATCCCCTTCTCAAGAGAGAGCCTGGATTGAATCTTTTCTTTGAGAGATCGAATGTCCTTCCGAAGGAGATCCATGTTACGCTCATTCGTGCGCTGCTTCCCAATCATTTCGGTCATGAGGCGATCTCGCCGTTGTCTCTGTCGTGTAAACTCTGGCCCTTTGCCTGGAAGAAAGGAGCAAATGCAGAGCCGCCATGCTTCCGCCGTAGCCTTTTCTCTGCGTGAGATCTACCCATGTTCCTTTCCGCGTTGCGCAAAAGGCTTTGCAATTCCTTGCGTTGATCCTTGAAGATTCGGACCCTTTCGTCTAGAACTGCTATCATTCTATTCTTTTCGATCTCTAGTTCCTTTTCAATCTTCCTAGGGAGGATCATTGATTCATATCGCTGGTCGTAATCTCGGCATTTATCGACTTTGGAAAGGTGCTCCTATGCTTCGCCAAGCTTATTATAGTGGCTTTCATGAGTGATGACTCGCGCGTCGAGCAGGAAGGGACTAACTTACTCGCTGGAATCCAGCTGTTGCATTAGGCTTCTTGTTTCGATCTGGGTGCCTGTCAAACGCTCGACTCTTGTAGGCCGACCTGATAGTAGCCGCATCCGCGGACTGCTCAACCCCGGGGATGTCATAATAATCAAGACAGACAGTGGAGTGCGGCGTGCTTTGTCCAGACCTGTGAGAGTGGATATCGATCGAGAGCTAATGGACGAGATCAGCTCTGTCCGCGAAAGCTCATGAGACTCGGTTCTTCTGAAGGGGGACGTTGAGGTATTATATATCAGACACCCGGATAATAGTATCTGGTAATAATGTTTGTCAGGTGGGGCTTTCCTATCTGGGCAGCTGGCGCTTGTATGAGGACGCTTAGGCTTGGGCTTAGGCTTAGTGACTTGCTATGAATCTACAGAACGGCAGGTAGTAGATGCAAAAGCACTTTCAAGGTACTCAGTCTCATATCGTAGAATATCAAACATTTGTACTGAGATATATATTCCATGCCCTCATCACTTAAGTAGATTCAACTATTGACATGACGGTCTCCACGACCAAATCAAACCATAATCATGAGACAAAAGACACAGCAAAAGAAGAAGCCAAAAGCCAACGCGGGGGGTATTTTTAGCACATAAACAATCAATCATTTGTAGATGGGCATGCCAACAACACCGAACTCAGCCACCCAAACAAAAAAGAACCCGAAAACGCTGATATATTCCCTCCCTTGACTTGGAAAACCACGCAGGTAAGTGAAATAAACCCCCTCTAGGTTATCCTAGAAAGCCACCCCAACAGCTGGACCACTCCATCGCCTTGAGTCATCTGACGATGGATACTCATACTCCGATTGAGGAGATTGCTGCTGATGGTCCTCATAGATTGTGGGGTAGCTGTTTCGCGGGGTGCTGATTCTATGACTGAGCGAGATACCAGCCTCGAGATCCTTTTCTGTGGATGGGGAGTAGCCGTGCAGTGAAGGCGTGTTGGTCATTGTGCTGGATACGGAAGAGTTATGGCGTGTCCGGTTCGGGCCAACCGTTGCGGCTGTGATGCTCGTTCCGACGGTGGACCCGCTCGATGTGCGGGTTCGATCGAATTCAAATCCTTTTTCGCCCGGCACACTGGCTTGTTTATCGTATGTACTCGGGTCTTTATTGTCATGATGGTGATGGGGTTGGAACCAGCCTGTCACGGGGTTGGAGAAGAAGTTTTCTGGGGTTGTGTGCCTGTGGTGATTCTCCACATCCACCTGCTGAGGCTGAGAGCTTGGCTCGAGGGTTTCTGCGGCCTCTATTTGCTTGACTCCCTCGAGATCTGATATGGGAGACGGAGTTTTGGGTGAGACCGGCGTCGAAGATATTATTGCATCGTGTATTAACCGAGTAGCCGCCTCGATTTCCGCTGGTGATGGATAATAGCCGTATGGGCTGAATGGGCTCACCCGATCGGAATGTAAGCTCATATCATCCGAGACGGGTGATGAGAGATCCACTGGCGGAGGAAGAATCACGACCGGAGTGACGACCGAGAAATGCGGGATCAGCGCGCTGGTGACGCGAACTGGGGCTGGTTGCTCGACCAGCTGCTCTATATCCCCGGCAGACGGTGTTGGCTTCCGTGGGATCGTGAATGCAGCTGCTGTTGATTGAGTGCGCCGCATTCGGTATTCAGCAGAAGCTAACGCCCGTGGGGGCACCGCCAGCGTCTTGCGTTGGGGGCGGTCTTCCAGGCTGAAGGCTTCGAACGAGGGCAGATCCGATAGTCGCTTGCCGCCGTGATAGATACTGAGCTCCAGTGGCCGAAACTGGCTGGGCACAGCAGGCACAGGCGGGGGCTGGAATCCGCCTACATAGTGGAAATCATAAGGCGCGCTGATCCTGTTCTGGGCGTTGGATTTCCTTCTGATGTGCATGCTGGCTCGGTTGTGTGCCCGAGACGCCAGATTCTTCCCTTCGACCACCCATGCTGATAATGAGTGCCGATTCTGACGTACACTTGGATCCGGCAGGTCATCGTAGACCCTCAACATCATGGGTGGGACGAGATGGGGTTGACTATGGCATACTTCCATCTCCCGTTTGGTACCTGACGGGTTGGTTAGTCGACGTTTAGGGTGATCTGCTGCGATGACTGACCTCCATAATTAACCTGTCGTTGGCCATCGCCCTCCGCCGCCGGACACACACATGACAAGCATGACCGTATCCAACCCGGGAGTATAGATCCTGCTTCCTCCAAATCCAGCGTCATGGCGACCAGCGCATTCGACACTAATCCATCGCCTTCGCAGAAGGCGGAGAAGAAAATGGGTAGGAGAGAAAGAGAAAGAGAGGAAAAGAGGAGGAAAAGACGAGTACGTGAGATGAGGAAAAGAAAACTACCGTTGCATGTATGTAAGACCCCCCACTTCTGCACAGGATGGCAATCCTCCGCGACCTGTCACGCTAATGCGAGCACTGGGTTGGCCGGCTTGCCTTCTAGTGCGGTGAAACAACGCTTTGGGCCACGACTATACCCAACGGAGCAAGTCAGCCTGACTCCCAGTGACCCGAGACGACCGTAGATCGCCCCATCACGCTTGCCACAGATAGCCTTATTCGTCAGGGGTCCGGCGGGGGTCGTCACAATCATACTATCACGAATCTTGCGTGCTAAGTATAGCGGCCTGTGGATAGTACCACGGCGGGAGTTCGGGCGCGTATTACCGTGTCGAGTTTCAGATCGAGCGGACAACCTTGCAAAGCTGTCGGATTTACTACCCAAATGGTTCATCAAGCTCAAAACTAACTTTCATCGCACTGACAAAATTCAAAATGCCGTGGTATGTGAACAATCGTAAATGATACGTACGCTAACCTACGCCCGAGGCTCTCCCCGCTAATGATGATTATTTGCCCCAAACATTGCTGTCCTCGTCCAGAGCTCCGTACGCCCACTGTGGGGGTGATCGGGCTGGATCCTGCTCCTGGCCCTGAGGATCATGATGCAAGCCGCCACTTCCTTCTGGAGCTCCTTCGGGGGCCGAATCCACGGTGTTCTCTTGAGGCTCCGACCCAGCCTCTTCTTCAATTGGTTCCCCCGACGGCCTTCTGGAGAACAAACGACAAATTTAGAACTGCTCGTAGGAAAGGAACCGCTAAATCAGACTTACGAGAACCGTCGGGTTTCTGGACCCGCCCAGGCGGATCCAAGCTCTCTCTGTGCCTGGGCTCTGTCTTCCTCCTCCGCCTCGCGGTTTTCCACCACGAGATCAACCAGCTGATCACGATGGGAGCCGCCGGAGCTATGTGAAGTGGAGCTGGGATTGCGCTGCACCGAACGGGGGGCGCCTGGGCCGTGACCGGACTGGTTGGAGCTGGGCCTATGGCCTCGCGAACTGGTGCTGCCCGACGCTCGGCGTTTTCGGTGCGTACGAGCCTTTTTGACCTCTCCTGATGGATGGGAGCCTTGGTAACCCCGGCCGACAGGCAGACGCTGGTCTCTTGGCACTTCATTGGCGGTAATCACAGGGTACTAAGCGCCGTCAGCAATCTCGACTTTCCTCCCACACACTCCGGAACCACCTACATTCCAATCTCCGAATTCTAGTGCCCGGGCATTGGTGAACAGTCGCTCGTCCTCATCGTCCATCGTAGTGTCGATATCAGTGTAAGAGCCGAAGCGTTCGTTACGGCTCCCTCGTTCGCTTCGACTGCGATGCCTGGATTCGCCACCAGCCAACAGGGGGTACGGCTGTTGGCTTCCCCAGGTTTGCTGACTTCGCCAGGCTTCGGGATCCAGTATTTTGCTTTGCCTCCCCGCTCATATCGCATGCCGTCCATGACTCGCTTCACACGCGAGCCTGACTCTTCATGCGCAATGACATTATCGCCCGAGTCGAAGAGTCGATAGTCGTAGTTCTCGCCCCGAAGCGTGATCTTTGTATCTTCCACCAAGTCGAGAACACCAAATGAATCTCGCAGTGCGAACTTCACCGGCAACCGCGCAGCGGAGATGGTGGGGTCCGCGAAGTCATGCCATGAGAACGCATACCAGTGAGCAATGGCAAAGAAGGGCATTTCACAACAGATGAGACAGTCCTGAACTGCTGCAGCCAGGTTGTCCGGCGTGTACCCAGCAGGACTATTGGAAAAGGCTCCCAGCCACTGCAAGATGGACAAGCCGAATCCCTGCCAGTATGAAGCGAAAATGATGAGCTTGATACAGAGGAATTTGGGAACGGGGCGGAATGGCTTCAAATCGTCGTGCAGGCACACCCAAAACATGGCCAGAGAGTACAGACTGATGGTGACACTGATGTTGTACACAATACCGGTCCAGAGATATCCGGATGAGATACCCAAATAGCCCTCCTGGTAGGTATCTGTCGCCTTCATCACGATCGAGATCAGAGCCAGGATGGGCTTCAGCCAGGCATACTGTAGAATCCCCCGCTTGATAGCCAAGAAGGTGTGCGGGTCGGAGATGTCGATCTTCGGGAGACATTCATTGAGCGGCCAGGCATGCGAAACAGGAGGGCGGCCATGGGTCATGATAATCAAGGCTCGTTCGCCTTCGAGAAAGTTGATTAGGAGCTGAAAAAATGTGTAGATCGTGAACGCCTGCCGAAAACCCCTGTCAGTATAGTATTCCTCCCACGCACAACCGCAGTGTTTCCCATACTTCATAAATATCACGAATCGGATCGAGGAATTGAGCCGCCTTGAGCGACATGATGCTCGTCCACGATGACGCAGCATAGATGGGAACCCTGGCTCGAGAATTAGCACCATTCCTGACATTCGACCCCTGACCCTGCTCTAGCGAGCCACTACTAACATTAATAGGATGCGCACGACATATCGTTGGAGTAGAGGCTTGCGGTAGTTTTTACTAAGAATGCTGGGTTAGCTGTCGGGACGGAGGGCATTGTCGCGACGGAAGCTCGTACGTTTGAAACCATATGGACCTGCATAGGACGCTCAAAGTCAGCTCTGGAGGGAGCACGGGATGATCGCAATAGCAGGGAAGCTCACACGAAGGACAAAATCGAGGCTACTAGAGCCGAAACACCAGAAACAATGATAATGGCTCGAGCCAGGCTGGAGCCCGTTCCACCCCCGGGGCCAGCCATGATGCGGAGAGTCGGTAGAGTGCTAGGAGTGTGGTCTCGGTGTATTTGAGACACCAGATTAGTCCGAGGGAGTTGAGCGCGCAATCATGGTGGTCAACGAGTCCAGCGTCGTTGTGTCGGCATGGTTGGCGGTCGCCTGGAATGTGGAGTGTGTTCGATGATGTCTTTTCTTGGGCTTGACCCGTGACACCGCTTTCCTTGCTTCTACACCACCACCAAAACACTCGACTGACGACCTAGTCACCGTGAGCTCTGGCTCGTCGCTCAGTCTTGCTGACAATGCTCACGCCGGTCCCCGGCTTCCTGGAGACATGGCCAGCACCAGCTTGACCGCGACCTACCTGACGCCGGCCCCGAGCTTCAATTGGTACAGCCCGACTCCCCGTCCTGGTTTGCGCGCCGCGGGCTAATACGTGCTGAAAATAGGTTCTTCCTGCTGGAACTGATTGTCTCTTGTATCCTGTAAGTTTCCTCACCAGCCAACATTCCGCCCGCGCTAATAGTGATTTCTCAACGCACCTAGTGCCTTGTTCTTCCTCCTGTACTTTAACCGCCTTTTCGCGACTCTCCTATCATATGCGATCCGAGCCTACACCTGGCACTACTACCGCGTGTATGTCGACATCAAAGCGCTCCAGGTATCTCTCCTTGGTGGCAGGATATTTTTCAAGGGCATCCGGTACCATGGCGTGAATGAGACGATCTTTATCCATGGAGGGTTCATAACATGGAGGTACTGGAAGCGCACGGTAGAACGAACGGACTTGTCCGGTATCCGACACAAGACAGACGCCCCTGAACCATCAGAGCGCACAAGGCCTCGTCCCGCGCATTGTGAGGGAGGTGTTGGCGGCCATAATGACGGCCTCGGGGAACAAGGCGGCGTGGAGAAGACGGCTGAGCTGCCATGTCGGATATCCATCACGATGTATGGGCTCGAATGGTTTATCTACAATCGGAAACCGGCCTACGACAGCATCCTGACGGGCTTCGGATATGTTGCGGATCAGGACGGTGATGCTGCCAGCGTAGGAGACCCAACATCTCCAGGTTCCGCTCCGAATGTGCCACACGGGCAGACAAACAGCACTTTCAAGACAACTCATGGGAACCGATCACAAAGCAGCGTGGATGAAAGAGAAGCCTATACCGGCCAGGATCCTGCGGCCCGCCGCAATGCGGAGCTCTCAGAATCTGTGTCGAATCTGCTTCAGCTCCTGCCGATAAAGCTGGAGTGCACCAAGGGCGCTATTGTGATTGGGAACGAAAACACTCGCTCCGTCTTGACGACCACCTTCGATAGCGCAACAGGAACCATCGATGCTTGCAACGCTGGCCCTCTCGATCTCTACCGGCAATTGTTCTCGTTCAATTTCAACCATCTAGTGGTCCAGATGCGACCAAACCCTGATTTCAAACAGAATCAGCTGGTGACCGCGAAGGCACTTAGCACAGTGCGAGAGGAAGAAGATGAAGCCGCCAAGAAACGTTCAATGATTTTCAACTATCCATTCCAAAGGCGCAAGCTATGGCATAGCATCCGTGACTTGGTACCATACTTCCAAACGTCTGTGGAGTCGTTTCATGCTAGCCCTCGACACGTTGACAGCATGCCAAGAAGCCAGGCGGAATTTCCTGAAGTGCGTTGGGTGGGCTTGTCTCGATACCTGGACGAAGGTGGCGAGGATGAGCATGAAAAATGGAACTCGGTCGAGTATGGCAGGTTTTCCACCATTATCGACAGTCCTAGCTTGAGCATGACGTACTTTTGGGACATTCCTGGACGGGTTGGACAGGAGCAAGCGGCAGCAACTCATTGCGAGTTACCAATAGACAACGATATCAACCGTGCGCTTCCTCCCGAATGGGGGGTTGACGTCAAGGTGGACGGTGGATCCATCAACTACGGACCCTGGGCC